TTGTTAACTGTGACTCACAAGTTAAAAGTGGTCCACAGGCCTGTCACTTAACTTTTGTATAGACACTAGTCAGGGATCTCATTTACATCTGGCGTTAATGTGCTGTGAATGGACATGTAGCTGGCTATACTTTCTGAAACTGGAAAAAAACACATTATGCATGGTGTAAATGCAAAGCCCCAAGGATTAGATGTCATTATCCAGATCCAATGTTAATAGCAGGTGCAAATGAGGCCAGGCTTTCATGCAGTTTATTGTAATACTGCTTAAGAAGTATAACATTGAAGTTCAGAGCAATAGCAGGGTGTCCGTGGGGGTCTTAAAAGTCTTAAAAGGTAAAAAAATAAACTTTGCGAAAATGAAGGCCATTTAAAAATTACTAAAGTCTTAATCGCCATTTAACAAGGTATTAAATTTTTTAGATATTTTTGTCAATGTGAAAATCCTTTTTGCCCAAAGAGTTTGTAGTGTGGGGTAACATTTATTTATATTGAAAATTACTAGATGGGCAGAGGTTAGTGACTGTGAATTGTCTGCGTAAGGCGCAGGGATAAACCGTATGAGCATTTCGCGCTCATACGCCCCTAAAAACAGATCCGAAAAACTGACTTACAAGTACAACCGACCCGTAATCTTCCACCACACCGGACTGCAATGCTAATCATCAAATCTGAGCTCTGTGGCCACTTGAAACAAGAGTGAGATGCGCTGTCAGCAGGTGAAGGGGGTAAGAAAGATCTTAAAAAAGTCTTTAAAAGGTATTGAATTTTACTTCAGGATACCTTTTGTGTATATACCCTGACGTCTAATCCTATTTGCACCAGACAGTTGTGCTGCTACCTGTGGAGCGTGCCCGTTTGGCTGAACTGTCTTGTGTTTTTATAAATGTGTTTCAGGGTGAAAAGGATGAGCAGTCGGCGTCAACCTCAGGGAAGGCCTCCATGAAGTCTGTGCTGGACGGCCTGGGAGAGCTATGGGACCAGCAGCAGTACGACACGGAGTACAACCTGGACAACTTCATACACACTCTGCAGTAGCCTCCATCTGCTGGCCGAGCAGGACCTGGTCAGAGCCAGAGGAGACCCCTACTGCTGCAGTTATCTACCCCACTCTCAAGCTCACATCTTACACAGGATAACCATCTGAGGGATAATAGTTACAGTACGTGTCCCAAAGCAATAACTAAAACACAGCCAAAATAAGAACTTACTCTATATATAGTTCTTTCACATTGATGGGTATGCTGCAAACATTTTGCGTCTGAAAATTGTCAGACATCCCATAATTTATTGTCGAGGCACCCAGGTTTTCAACAAGTCATCCACATAACTGCTAAGAGAATATAATGGTATGGTGACAATGTACCATCTGCAACAAACATCTCCAGTGTTCGTTTACATCATCTTCATTTAGTTAACAGCGGTGTCACCACGGTGTACAGTGATGTTGCTGTACATAAGCATACAGTGTATCATAATTATAGTTGTCCTTTATAGTTCAGCACCAGGTGCTACTTTTACAGCCCACTGCCCTCCTCCCAGATCGCATTGCCAGAGTATACAGTGTTAACTGCTTAACAGACACCATTACCCATTTGCGCCTCCCTCCTATCTTCCCCATTACCACCTCCACCCCCACTTCACAAGGTCTTAAAAGCACTGCGATACCCAACCACACCTGTCAACACAATCTAAGTGACGGATACAAACATGTTTTTGTACAACAAAAGGAAACGGGACGAGAGTGACGAGCTCGCTGGAGAAACATGGGATGTTGTAAGTGCGCTGGCTTTTTATAGCACGCTGATGCCTGCTGAGGTCAGGAGTTGTTTGTGCAACGACAAGATGACTCCCATTCTCAAGATGGCACTAGTTTCCACTCGCTCCAGGAGCGTCTGTTCACATGACCTGTGGCCATTGAGAGGCTTTGGTGGAGAGAGAGCGAGAAAGGAATGAATCAGCGTTGTGTCCAGCGCTTCCAAATGTGGTGGTAAAATAAGCTGGGAAGGCACTGCACTTGAAGCAGCATTACAGACTGATCATGGGGCCACGGTGAAACTGGTACCTGAAACTTGCCACAAGTAATTTTTAAAGAAAAAAAAAAACTTAATAGACTTGTACATATGTCTGTAATTGCTGCTTTTTGTTTATGATTGTGGAATTGAAATAAATTCTACAGACCTTTTGAAGTAGCATCTTGTGTTTTTTGCATGTGAACAGTGATGGCCAGTAGATGGTGTTGTTGTACACCCACAATTAATACTGATGCATCATGAGGGAACCTAAAATACGTCACTTTATTCTTTTGTCAAAAGATGACTAAAGACTTGAGGATCATTGCTACAGCCACACACCTGCAAAGGAGAACTTTAATAATAATAATAATAATGAAGCTGCTGCTGCAGCAGCAGTTGAGTTTTCACCAATGTTCTGTTCCTTAACACTTTAAGGAGTTCTTTGGTTGGCCTTTAAAGTTGAGTTCACGCTTGTTAAAGCTAGTAAACCTTGTGAGAGTTTCGTTTACTTCTGTTTCCAAGGTCAAGAATAAAGTTTCAACCTCAACTTCAAGTTCTCAAATGCTCACAAAAGTGGAGAATTTATAGAAGCAAAGAGGCTGAAATAATTTGAGACTTTTATAAGCAACTGACTACCTTACCTCATGGTGTAATTACTACTTAGTATCTGAATAATAGAATTTAAACAACTAAAAGTACTTTTTGAATATTAGAAACTTGAAACAATCTGAATATTTGAACTAAAAAAACATCCACCACTTAAAAATGACCAGTAAATTTCCAAGAGGGCAATTAAAGCCACATAAATTCAGACAGATGGGTTTTCAAAGTAAAATATTTCCGTGTCACACTTGAACTTAAAAATTAAGTATCTGCTTACAACATTCCTATCCTTACAGCCTTTCTTTCCATGGTAACTGGGCAAACTGCATCTGCTGCTGATCTGATGGAAAGCTCCAGAACAGCTACTAAATGTAGATTGTTTTCTAAAGTACACAAACAAGTTCATTATTCTGCCTTACCAGCTGAATCTGAAGAATGACTCCATTAAACTGAAAAGACAGATGTATGATTATAGAGGCAGTAAGGTGCAGAGTCAGTAATGCAAGTTAGTACTGGTCAGCTATATTACAGGGGACAGGGATGGATGACAGGGAGAGGATGCCATGCCAAAGACCACAAAGTTTCACAGCGTCATACAACTACGTTTAATAAGATTTGCTTATTAGTACAGAAAAAGAAAAAAAAAGGAAGGTGGGAACTACAAACTCTGAAGCAGTAGTAAGCATTATCAGCATTGAGCTCCGTGTTGTCAAATCAGTTATACTGCAAAAAGTTCAGACCAAGTCAACAATCTCAAAAAGCCTCATCAAGATAGAACCAGTGTTCGAGTCAGGAAACAAAAACCTAGAAAATGAGCACAGATGCCGTACAGGAAAAACAAATGTACATTTCAAAAGTAGTGGGATGTTGGGGTGGGGGGGGGTAAAAAATGCACACTACCAATTTATTTTTCATCTATTTTGGGATCACAACATGACGAGACCTACAGTGTTTACCTACCCAGAGAACGCCCATGAAGCAGAAGTGAATACACAGTATACTATCCAAGTCTAGTTACATGAAATACATACGTATATCTATAGAGGAATATATAAAATGGTTGCCATCATCCAATCCATGATCTTTTTCATTTGCACATACACTTTGTGTTACACTTAAGGTATAAATTGTTTTGTTACGTGAAAGACAAACTAGAAAAAAATAAAGGCCAGGTGAGATAAATATTTGGTGGTATGGTGGTGAATAATACTGATCCCTGGAAAAGGGAAAGGTGTGGGACTATTTAAAAGACTTGAGGGGGGGTTGGAATTAGCATCAGCTGTATAAACTGGTAGAAAAGGCCAGCCAGAAATAACATTCTCACATGAGCACTGGAGTCTCTTTTTGGAGGATGGGACGTCAAAAACACTTCAAAGTGGACCTTCAGCCTAACTTAAAGAAACTGTTTGACATATTGGGAAATGTGCTTTTTCGGTGTCTTAGTGAGATCATACCATGCCAATACCACTCATGTATGTATGGTAATAAAGCTGGAGCTGGTTAGCTAAGGCGGTGGCTCTGTACAAAGGTATCAAAATCTACCTACCAGCACCTTTAAAGCTCACTAATGAACATGTTATACTTTGTTAAATTGGTCCAAAATCCGGTGTGGGGTCCCGCTGTATGAAGGACCTGTTCTTGGACAAAGCTTCAGTAAGTAAGTCCTCCTACATAACTCCTCTAACACTGTTTTCACCCGGCTCTAGCTTCAGCTGTGTCCAAACCTTTGCCTACTGACCAACTCTAAAGCTAAATAACATGTTACATCTTGTTTCTTTAATCTGTACACAAGAACTGAAGTGTCAAAAATACAAGCTGTAGTTTTAGGGGGGGGGGGGACAAATTCTTGGCTGGATGTTAATGCTAGGCTAAGCTAACACTCTCCTGGCTGTAGCATTGTATAGTGACAGTGATGTCAATCTTCTCATCTTACTCCTTGGCGAACAAGTGTATTTCCCAAAATGTCAAACTATTATTTAAAGGCGGAGGGGAAATATAGGATTTTGCCCAAAAAAATAAATGTTGTAGAGAAACAATCAAAAGAAAAATCCACTTTTAGACCATTGCCTCCTATGAATCATTAAGATTGTACAGCGATAACTTACATGCGCTTCCCAAACTTTGTATATTATACAGTGCATCTCTACGTTTACATTCATACTTAAATACAATCACACTGGTGCATTCTGCAGGGACCAAACCTACGAGAACGAGGAGGACGTGACATGGCTGTTTCTTGAGGAGGAGCTGTTGAATATTTCACATGTGAGTAGGAGTTATTGTAGAGTTAGTGGTAGTAGTAGGAGTATTGGAGTAGCAGAAGCAATGTAAATGGTCAGTGGTGTTGTCCATCTTCCACAATTACATCACAACATACTGCATGTATGCTCCATTCTGCCATATTTATTTTATTGCCCATTCATTTGTTTACATTGCGAATCACTTAAACATCACCAACCACCAATCTGTTGTTTTGAGGAGTTCTTTTTTTCTCCGTAATCATTTTCACACTAATGTAAGCAGTTAACACACAAAGCTTAGCATTTCAAGAATTGAGACACTTTAGTAACATTATTACAAAGGTTGTTTTTTTTTCCAGCTTCAAAAAATGGGAAAAAAAGTGAACAAACGAAGAAAAAAAACTTTTAAAGAATTAGCATCATAAAATTAATTTATTCCAAGTAAAAATACAAAATAATATTTATGACATTGACCAGATATGAAAAGTCTCCCCCAGAAATAACTATTAATGGTTGAGAAATAAGTATGTAAAGAAAAATATGAAATAAAAATGAAAATATGTAAATATGTTTAAATTCTTTTTTTTTTAGCAAAACTTTCTAAAAATAATGAAAATTTCTCAGTACAAAGGCTACATTACTACTGGAAGGTACTAGCAGGTAGAGTAGGTAAATACACAGTAGAAAATGATTTTAGTGAATCACAATGCTTGCAATGAAAATAACTCTGCAATAAAGATTTATGCCTCTTTTTCTTGTTTTCTTCTTTTCTACAAACAGTACAAACAGTATTGCACATTACAACAAAGAATCAAGGTTCTTAGCCTTAAAAAAAATGGGACTAATTCAAGTCTTGCGTGAATAGAAGGCCACCAGTCAATTGATGCACCTTGGGGGCTTCCGATCAAGTTACAGGTGAAAACACTTGTGTCTGTTTTGTGTTAAAAATAACATTCTTGTCTCTCTACCTCCAGCTGTTCAGTGACTCTCACAAGTCTCCTTGTATTTTTCTCCCGACGATGTCAGGCTAACAAATCAGGGTCACCTTGCTTTTTTACAAAACAAAAGGGAACACGTACGTTTAGGAAACATAAAAAACTTCTCTTAAAAAAATAATGAACAGAAGATCTCTTTCACAACTCTGGTCAGCATAGTAAATGATTGATTATAAATATACAAAAAACGTGGGAAATATGTTCAGTTTTCTCTCTGAGCACCTGATATATATATTTTTTTTTTTTTCCTAAAGAGCTCTTCTGTGGTGTTTTGACCAATTTGACCAGTGGGACACTCACAGTAACTTCCACTGTCATAAAGTAGACTGTACTTTCACTAACTACATCATTATATTAGTTATAAAGCTCTAGCTCCTTCAGTTGTTGTCTTTTTCAAAAAAATAAATTCTTAAAATAAAAGGCAAATAAGCATGATAAAAATAAAAAAAATCAGCCATCTGTTAAATCATTTCTCTTGAAGAATTAAATTAATATATATTTTCATCTGAATAAACTTACTTAGAAAATATCAGTTTCTCTCCTAATATATTTCAAAATTGAGGTATTGCAAAAGATCTTGTCAGTCAGAAAGCACGCTTTATCGTCTTTTTTTGTCTTTTAACAAAAAGAACTGCTGACCGTCGAAAACTGTTCAGATACAAAGAGTAGTGCATAACAAATATCTATCATAGAGAAGGAACAAACATAGAAAACCTGTCTGGGTGGGGAAAGAAATGTCACAAAAACACCCAGAATTCACTTTCATAGGGATACTTATTATTACTCATGGTTAGCCTCTTATTTTTTTAAGTCAGTAAAAAAGTATCTTCTCTTTAGTTTCAATTAGTTTTTTTCTTGGACAACAAAAACCATCCATCCTAAAGCAAAAAACAAACAAACAACAAAAACAAAACAGTTTGCGACTAATAGGAGAAAGAGGAGAGGGACTGCGGGGCGCCAGCACGGGACAATCACAACTCACGGACAAAAAAAAATAAGGGGACGACACACATTAACTTGCAATGATGTAGGATCCCGTTCGGATTGTCCACAAAACTGCTAAAACCAGTGTAACTTGGCCCCCCCACCCCTACCCCCAAACCAGAGCCGCCCTGTTTTGTGCATTGCAACTACCTTCCCCCTTCCCCAGTCCTGTTTGAACTGCGCACTATAACCTTTTGAAAAAAACTAAAAGATATACATGTCCACCATTTTTTTAGCAGGTCCATTACTTCAAGCTTTGCAGGAAAAAAAAAAATCTGGATAAATATGGTAGCCCCAGCTTGCACATCTGCATCTTCTGGGGCAATGTTATTCCCACCCACCCCACTCATGTAGTTAGAGCATGTGCAGAGCTCAGTTTCTCAACCTCAAGTCTCCAGTAGCTTCAATGTTTTATTTTTATCCCATCTCCACCCCCGATTCTTCTTCCAAACTGCCCTCTTTCCTCATCTAATCAACTGCACTTCAGCTCCTCTGCAGGAGCCTCATCTGCAGGTTGTTAGGTGGTCTTGTTAAAAGTCGAACACGTGAGCTCTTTGGTTGCATTCTGGGACGTAAACGTGCGCGTTCGTCAACGGTGGGACAAAAAAAAAGAAAGAAAAAGAATAAAAGAAAGACCTCAGTCCTCAGTTTAAACTCACATTGTTGCGTCTTCTCTTCAGATCAGCCTCTGTGTTTGTAGGCCTGTTTGTGTGCGTAAGAAAGACAGCCGTCCGTGTGTGTGTTCGTGTGTGTCGAGAGGCTTCTGTGTATACTGGTGCAAGTGTGTGTACAAGAGAACATATATACGTGTGCATACACTAGTTATGAAGTTTCACAGGACTTCTATGTCGGACATTAACGACAGTTAAAGCGAATCACAGTTCTAGGCATACTCAGACCTAACTACATACGGTATAAAAAATTGCACAATTATATCAACAATCACTGCAAAAAAGTACTTCACCTATCATAGACAGTTTTAAATGGTAATCCTACATTTAATTTGATTTGTGATTATTAAGGTTGTTTTTTTTTTTTCCCCTGTCGCTTGGATGTGTCTTGGAACCATCTGCTCTGGCCGCCCTGTGGCATGGCTTGCGAGCCCCGACGCGCCGCCATGACTACTTTGACCGGTCTTCCATGTTTCTGTCCAGTTTCGTGCGAGTCGAACGTACGTCTATAGTGTGTTGTGCAAACATGGGCAGAATCGAATAGTAGACATGATACTGAAAAGTCTATTACATGCAGCAACCTGATTGAAATAAACATGCAGTTAGGGGCAACCCACCCCGACCCCCACAAAGGTAGCCATCATTGTCTAGGGGCGCCCCCTCCCCCTATGATAGCTCGTCATTCTACAACACCAGGTGCTTCTCTAGATCTGTTATTTATTATTTTATACCCTAGCCTCAATAAAGTACTTATGGTATCTGTTTATACCATGGATTTAGCAGCAAAGCTATTGCAGCAGTACATTTATATAACACTAAAAAATAATGTTATTATAAAAATAAAGACCTAGAATTCGAAAGCAAACTAATCTGATTGCGCATATGAGGTATTAATATTCAGAGTCAAAATTGAGAGCAAATATAGCCATGTTACTTTTTCTCGGGGCAATAAGGGCCCACACTACTGGATAGTTGTTAAATCTTGCTACATCTTATGCCACCTATTTAGCTTTTCTGTATGCATTAATTTGCCTTTGGTAATGATTTTTTCCTAGGGGCAATATAACTACAGCTTTTGAAAATAAGTGCATGCTCATTTTACATAAAATTTTAATTATCTATATATGTATAGATAGGTACAAAACAAAAAAATATATACTTTTTAAATATTTGTATGGTCCCACCTCTGTCTCAGTAAGGGGGGGTCCAACAGGACGTACCACACCATTTAGTGAATAGAATGGGGAACTGAAAATAGCCAGGTGTCTAATATACCATCCTGTGTGTGTATAGTGGGATTTTGTGCCAAAGTGCAAATTGTTGATAGACTTTCGCATTTCATTTCCCCGCAATGCTTCATCAGAGGGGAACACCAGACAATGAGTTCAGTATGGTATGAGGAAAGTCCCGTGTATTTGACGGTATCCTTTTTGCTTTTTTCATGAGGTGTTTGTGGGGAGCAGGGTGGAGTAGGTGGGGCTGTGTGTGGGGGTGTGTGTGTGTGTGTGTGTGTGTGTGTGTGTGTGGGGGGGGGGAGTGTTGCAGCACTGTCCCGGCCTGTAAGGTAGGAGGGGTGCAGGAGGTTTTTAGGGGTCGAGTGTGGGTTCACCAGGGGCAGGGCTGACTCGTGACCCCCCCTCAGCTCCAGCGGAAGGACACGTGTCGAGGTCGGTCGCCCCCCTCCTTCACCAGTGGCTTGTGAAACTCTCGGCCGGCTCGCGAGTGGATGCTGGCCCAGCAGTACTCGCAGTAGTACTGCAGGCATGTGACGTTGGCACAGAAGAAGGGGGCAAACTTCCCCCCGCAGCGTGCCCCCTGGCACTCATCACACATCTGGTCATCCAGGACGTACGGCTTCACCTCCACCTGGGAAGGAGGAGAACAAGAGGTGGCGTTCAAGTTTATTCTCATCCACAAACACAAATCAAGAAAATTGAGGTACAGTCAGTCATCTTGTTAGAAAAATGTGTATTCTGCCCTGAATGGGCACCTTCCCAGCTAGAAGTCAGCAGCTTGCAGAAATATTGGCCTGTACGCAACACTAAGTGTAGTTACGCTAGCAAGTGTTATAAGAGTTGTGGTCATGATGGAAGAAATGTGCCATTTAGCCTTTTCTAGTTGTTGTAATTTGAAAAATGACATATTTTAGTCTAAACTTTTCTATAACAATCTATCTATAATCTATAACAAAGAATTTCCCCTCTGGGATCAATCAAGTAGTCTGATTTGAGTATTGCAGTTGCTATTCGCTCTTAAAGGTTCAGTGTATACGTTTTAGTGGCATCTAGTGGTGAGGGTTGCAAATTGCAACCAAACTGCTCACTCACCACTCAACCCTCCCTTCCCGTAGTGCGTAGGAGAAGCTACGGTGGTCGACACGCTCTGTCAGCTCTTGTGCTAAATAAATAATTGTCCTCATTTCACTTCTCTTCTTACTTCTAACAAACCAGATGACTACTACTACTACTTCTGTAGCGCTGTTTGTCTGTTTGGGCTACTGTAGAAACATGGCGCCGCAACATGGCTTCTTCCATGTAAGAGTCCCGCAGTGTATGTAGATAGAAATGGCTCATTCTAAGGTAATAAAAACATAACAATTAATTATGTAAGGTCTTTATACACCACTGAAAACATAACTATGTATATTATATTGCATTTGTCAATAGATCCTCCTAAATATTACACACTGAACCTTTAATCTAATGTTGTTTTTCACAAAACAAATGAAATTTTTTAGGTTAATTCCTATAAAACAGGTATTCTCACTGTTATAAAAAATTTGACTTGAAAAAAGGGAGGATTATTTAACTGGCATCTTCTTTATGCCAGACTGAAACACTAAAACCAAAACAACTAGTATTTAAATGTGCTAAACAGCTATGGAGCTCCAGGTGTTTTGGCTCAGTCAGAGTAACCCCATGCGAGGCAATCTCTGTGCAATATTCTAAAATATAACCAAGTTAGTTTCAGGTAGGTATCCTCAGGTCTAGCAGTGAAATGAGTTTGACCACTAAGCCGGAAGACAAGAAATGAGAGCTCAGTTGCCATGGAGACACCTCAGCGCATGAGTAGGCAGGGGTGTATGCTAACCTTGTTATAGCGTGGCCACAAAATGAAAGGTTATCATATCCTTCAACTGTAGGAGGCCGTCCCTCTTAGCTAAACCCTGCAACAACTGCAGTGCAAAAATCCACAAGACAAATGAGAAAAAAAGTCAGGCAGAAACCGCAACACTGCCGTGCTGCTAAATGCCAATATCAACTCAGTGGACATGAAGCTGACCAGAGGTAATGAGCTTCTATGTCCTATCATCATGAGCCATTTAGAGTTAATGAAGGCTAAGGCGAGAAAGGAGAAAATTTGAAAGAAAAGTGGCAGAAGCAGGCATCTTGTTCCATACCACAACTTTGTGAACAGTGATTCTCAAAGATGCGCCCCACTTTCTGCAATGTATATGCATTCTTTAAAAAGGGTTCATTCTGTCAACATTAATCACTTTTGTTGTAAAGGTGACTTGATTCTTGATAATAAAAAAAGGAAAAAAAACAAACACTACAATACTTAAGATGAAAAATCCTCGTCAATTAACTGCATCAAAAGGCTGTTCTAAATATTTTTGTTATTTCTCATTCTTAAAGGAAGGCCTTTATTCACACACTTTGATGCTCTCGTAAATGTTGTTTCCTTTATCTTGTTTTGAACATTATTTGCATTCCACCCAGTTCCAGTCATAATAAAGACACCCTAAACCCCCACTGAGGATCAATGGTGAAAGCTGAGGTGGGGTGCACCGCCCCGCCCTACAGAGGCTCGGTGTCCTGGCTGACAACCAGTCTCTCTCGGTCACGATCTGTCCCGCTGCAATTGGCCGACGTGCCTAAAATAACCAGGCTGCAGCGAAGCCTGAATATACATGTATAGGGAACTACTATAATTAAACCAACCCTGTGTGTCTGCAACTAGAAACATCTGTCGGGACTCCAGCAGCCATAGTGATTGCAGAGCCGGGCCTGGCCTTCCATTATTGTAGGCCGTTTTGAGCAGCTGGCTTAAAATCCAGCTATAATAAAAGCTATGAGACATGGGAGAGTACGGCTCAGCAGCATGCCATAGGAATGACTGCGGAAACCTCAGCCGTGGTGGAGAAGCTGTTTTCTTTCAGAGGAAGGACATTGTGAATGAAGTGCGTGAACCCGCTCACCCTTTTGTCGATGTCATTGTGCTGCAGCTGAACGAAGCGAGCGCTGATGGCAGCAATGTAACTTTGCTGATTGGAGAAAGCCACGCGGCCGGCTCCCTTTGGGTATTTGAGCTCTGGGTCAGTGTCGATGCCCGCGTAGCAAACACCTCCGTACAGCCGGTCCATGATCATAGCCAGCTCCACTGGAGAGAAGGCGTGAGGGAGAGAGATGATTAGTGTTACAGCAAGTCCTCTTGGGAGTTAAAGACCATTTTGGCATTTTATTTGTCAAGGTTTCTCAAATTGAAAGGCCTGAGTCTTTCTTAAAAAACATTTTCTTAAAAAACATTTTAAGAAAGGCTGTTTAAGTTGGACTTTTGTGATTTATGTTCTTAATAACTGATGTAAAACTCTTCCCTACTCCACTCTTCATCAGAGCACCAGACTAAAACTGCTGGTATGATTAGTAGGGTCATGCTGTAGACAAGCCAGCGATGTTTATCCCAAGAACAGAAGGACTGTGCCTTCCATTACACCATGAATTCTTAACATGATGACCAGTTGGCCCGCTTCCTGGAAACCCAAGTAGAGGATTGCTTTCTCACAGGGAGAACTTTCATTATAGCCTCCAGCCTCTGCTCCCCATGCCAGCCAGCGTTATGAAGCCAATTTAGAGGCTTTCAGGGGATCGCAAAAAAGATATTCCATTCATATTAGTTACCTGCACGCAGGGGCCGCGGCACCCCACCTACGAAGATGGTCTTGCGGGGGTCCAGAGGCTGGGAGCCGTCCATGACAAAGTCACTGTCGCTTAGATTCCAGGGACGGATCTGGACCTGCGTGAGGGAAAAATCTTGTCATTTAGATGGAAATGTGTGGAATACTAACTGTACATTTTTTTTTGCCATGCTAGCTTTGGTGATCCTACTTATTTTTAGTGTACAGTTTATAAGACTGGATTCTAATTAACAGAAGAAACAATGCTGTGTCGTAAAAAGAACTGGGCCCGTATTCATAAAAAATCTTAATGCAAAGAGTAGCTCCTAGTGACAAAATTCTAAGAAAATTCTTAGAAATGTGGGCGTTTACCCTTAAAATTAAAGAAAAAATCCTAGTATAGAAAAAAGTAATTCAGAAAGCATCTTAACCCTTAAAAGAGGTCTTAAGGTCAAAATTGTTAGGAGCACGGACGAGGACTTTTAAGAGGCTTAAGAGTTTCTTTAGTAGAGGAGAAAATGGCAGAAAGACGAAGAGGGAAAAGAAATGTGTTGCAGACAATGGATGACAGTGAGTTAATCAGATGCTATAGATTAGATCGTGCAGGGATCATGTTTGTGACTGATGTTATTAGTAACGCGCTAACATCTCCGACACAGCGCAGGAATGCCATAGCGCCAGAAATGAAAGTAATCACTACATTACAATATTTTGCAACTGGGAAAATGCAACAATGCAGCAGTGATGATTTAGGTCTGTCACAACCTTCTGTAAGCAGAGTGATCGCACAAACAATTACAGCACTTTCAGAACCTCTAATTGTGTCGCAGTTCATCTCGTTTCCACTGGATAGTCCCACCTTGCAGGCTCAAAAAACTGCAATTATGAATATAGCAGGCTTCCCTGGTGCACACAAGCAGGGGGAATGAACCGTTAATAGTTTGTGCTATACGCTCCCACGTCTGCTTCTTGCCCCGTGCTGTGACACCCGGCCCCAATTTTCCTTTTAGAATGGCCTTGTGTTCATCCACTAACTGGGCTAATAGTAAACACTGTTCCTCTGTCCAGTTGGGCTTTCTTGCCCTTCTTGGTTTTGATTCCATGTTTGATACCTTAAAACCAACATTCAAACCACCACTTAAATAGACATGCCAGCAATCAGTGTAATTGGAAAGAGTGGAACACTTTTTATCATTCTAAGCCAATCAAATACCTTATAGGAAATTAACAGCATGGTAAATAAAAATCAGGATCTATATACACATATATAATGGGTGTGTGTGTGTGTGTGTGTGTGTGTGTGTGTGTGTGTGTGTGTGTGTGTGTGTGTGTGTGTGTGTGTGTGTGTGTGTGTGTGTGTGTGTGTGTGAGAACAGTCAAATAGGAAATATTACGCATGTAATTTCCAAAGTGAAGGCTTAGAATAGAACCTATACTTAAAATCACTCTTTTTTTCCTTCTTGGACAACCAACCAATCACAGATTGTGTCATACATAGCAACGGGGTCAACCCCGCCTCCTCACTAAGATGAAAGTTTTTGTCTTTTCCTTGCTCCGAGTTGCTCTCAGATCAGTCCCTGATCGCTCTTAAGCTAAGACTCCTACGTAAAAGTTTTTAAGCTAAATTAAGAGTTTTCTGAGAGGATTCTTAGAATCTTTATGAATACGGGCCCTGTAGTTTAGGACAGGCGGGGGAGTAAAGTAGACATGTGAAGACACAAATCTACTGAACATTTATTGTATTCCACAAATGTCTGCTGCTTACCGGTTTGTCTTTGATGGTGGGACTGGATACACACAGGTAGAGCTTGCCATCCTCCTCGATGCAGGCGTCGATCAAGGCCTGAACAGAAGTCTCTTCCTGGAAGAGCAAGAAGGCGTAGCCTGGAAAGAAGAGCAAACAGAAAATTTATGGAAAAAAGGCAACAAAAACTACATCTGCTGCATTTAATAGTCACACTCTTGTGACCATGAGGCTTTAAATTCTGTCTTCTGGGCAAAAAATCATAGACATTTGAGTATTTTCGACAGTGTCTACATTGCACAAGTCACAATCCTATGACTAAGCCACATACTTCTTTCCTTGTAATTATTCATAGTTTGAGACAACTTCGCCTCCACACAGGCTTATGACCTTGTGGCAATGTTCTTCTGTCCTCATTTTGCCTCGCCTGCCTCCATAAGACGCTCTACACCCGGCACCTTGCTGCCTGCGCTGCTTCAGATTAAATGGCTAAGAGTGCTCCACTCCTAAAGGAACCATGCAAAATTGATCAGCCGAACACACTGCGGATCTTCCCTGAGAATTGGTTCAGGTGGAGAGAGTTTGGTGATGTCTTTGTGAAGCAGAAAGAAAGAGCAATTCAGACAGTCACTCTGTACTCCTGAATTATTTAGCATGGAGAGCACAGACCTTATCCAAGGTCAGAGCTATTAAGCTATTTGGGGAGGGACAGAAAGCCAACTCAATAAAGGTACATCCATCACATAATGCTACAGGGGTCGGCGAGCAACAGGGATCTGATTTATACTGAAAAAGGACAAAGAAACATGAGCCGAGAGCCCAAAGCTACATTTCAACAGTGAAATAATAAATACACAATACTTGGCCCAAAGAGACCAGGGTGAATATATTTGCAACACAGACAGAATGCAGCACATGTTGGTGCACACAGTCATCTCTGGGTCGTCAATTATTAGCGTATGGCTCTGGCTGTGTTAGCAGAAACCCACTACCACCTGTGGCACCCATGAGTCAGAGGAATATGAGCTGCTGGGATGGGTAGATATGCACAAGTGTACACGATCACACGCACACACCCAGAGACTACTTTCTACGAGAGTACACTCTGTCTCCGACTTCCAATCACTTTGTTTGTAGTGTCTCTCGAGACTACAACAAAAGCCATGTGTTCCGGTGTCTCTTCAGAAACCTGCTTTTATAAACGGTCTTTCAGTATCACACGCACACACACATACAGAAGCTCAGACACATGCTCTTATGCAGACAAATGCATGAGCTAAAATGGCGAGGAAAAAGAACGTGCCACGGTCATGTTTTCACTTTAAACTTTCCTGAGTGGATGGGATGAGGGGAAAGGAGAAATAAAGCCTGAGTCGGCAGACCTAGTCAACTGTGGTATGTGGGAGCGAGAGCGTGTATCAGGGTAAGGCAGGGAGGAAGGGTGTGAGTTTGTTCTGCGGTGGGGGGAGCTATAAGCAAGACAAGAAAGAAAAGGCAGCGAGCATCAAAGGTGAAATGGAAAAAAGTAGGTGCGTAAGCAGAGGTGTGTGAGGGCTAAAACTGCTGCTGCTGCTTTTGTCTGTGTGTGAATGTGTGACGCGTGTCCTGTCACAATGACATGACAGTGTCCTGCCTAGAGCGATGGCAACTGTGACTTTCTGACGTTTGCGTCTGTATCAGCAGTGTAGCTCACCATGTGGTAGAAGAAACGTGTGATACAGGATCCAAAAGCAGCATTTTTATGGCAGCCACCAAACAAAAAAAAAACTTAATTAAAGCATAGCTAAAACCTTTAGTCAGTTAAGAAAAGGATCAAGAAAAGAAACCTCAGATTAACGGAGCCCTAAGTTAAATACATCAAGAACCATTTATAGCTAATGGAATTTTGGTTGCACAGAAAAGAGAAAATGGCAGCAACACAGACATCTTTGTTCCACGCGCCCAAATTTAACTCAAGGATGTGCTCTCCCCTTGTGCCACACATTCAGTGGTCTGCAATAGATAACGATCTTGTAAAGTGTTCATTCTGCCGACATAAATCATTTTGTTGCTCACTGCCGATGATGTCATCCAACTGATGACGTTAGGCTAACCCTTAAAACTCGGAACAAGGAAAAAACACAAAAATTATCCCCATAATTACCTCACTTAATAGGCTGTTAAGTACTTCATGAGGGCCCCAAGGTAAATGAATATGCCAACAGAAAAACGTGTATTACAATAATGGAAACAATGATAGTGAGAAAAAAAGGGCAGTGAGTATGAAGAAGCAGGTCTGTGTGTCCTTAAGAGGACTGAAGCATAATGATCAAGTGATTTGCTCCATGCTAATGCATTAGCATACACAATGTTAAGTTATTGTATGCATCTAGGATTATGCAAAGTAACCACAGAGGCTCTTACTAATTAACAGTTTTTAAGCGGTAATTATTATTATGAGTCCTGTAGAGTCAAGTAATAGGCCAACAACCTCAGTGAGGCTATCATGTTTTCACTGATAACAAACTGTACCATTGGGAGGGGGGAACAAAAATATTCACAATGAAAAACTAATTTCAAACAGCTGCTTTAAGTGACCAGCTAATCTCTGTCTTTTTGTAACAGGTCAACACGGAGCCAACCGCTCTCTGCACCAGCCGGCAAAAAATACACAATAAGACTCGACATAAGAGGATTTTGTGCGTAGTCATCTTTCTCCACGTGCCTCGTCATCACCCGACATAAGACCCCTGTCTCTGTGTTGCTGGGTTACATAAAGAGGGTTTGTCATCAGGAGAAATCATGTGGTTTAGCACTGACATCCCCCCTCAGAGAAAAAACAACTGCAGTCTTGCACACAAAAAAACCCAGCATGAAAAGGCAGAGCTAGCCAGCAGCTCATACAGTTTGAAGGAGGGAACAACGTGTTCCATGACCCAGGGCAGGAGAGAGAGGGAAAGAAGGGGGGCGGGCGGGGGGGAGAGGAGCAAGACAGATGGAAAGAGTGAAAAAAGTGAGAAAAGGTAGGGAGAGAAGCAGCATGAATGACTGCCATGCAAACAGAGACTTTGAAAATACATGGGAGGGCTTGGGGAGCAGGAGGAGCATGGGGGATATAAAGACTGTAGAGACTGACGCCAAGCTGCTACTTTAATGAACCCTGGTAGAAAGTTACAAAACCAATGCAGGCGGCCTAGAAAGCCTTTTACCGTGTGCTCCACACAATTTCACACAGAAAGTACTGGACAGGGCCTGTGCTGCCTTCTATATCATCCCTCAAACCTGCCAGGGCAAAATGAAATTCACAAGTGAGGGCGCCTAACTTCTAGGCAAACCGCCATGGTTTCATCAGGACACAGTATGTCTTCATGAACAACACAGATACTCAGTTTGGTCAGGGTGTACATACAAGTATTAATATGGCAATACTTCATACTAACCCATAACCCATTAAAACAGATTGTACCAGATTCCATAGGGATCTTTGCCACTTGAATGCCCTGATATTTAGTCTGAATGGTGCTGAATCTGTCTTTTTCCATCAGCCTTGCGCAGTGCAGAGGCTTACGCCACGGGAAGAAAGCGCAGATCTGCAGTGGCTCGTGCCTGAGATTTATAAGCTTTGCTGCTGAGCTCCCAGCACTGTCCAGGGAGGAAGGGAATACGTACACCCGCAGCATTTTCCAGCCTAAAGAGCGCTGCTTTCAGACAAACGATAGGCAGAGGGCCTCGTGGGTTGCGCAGATAAACCAATGACCTCACAAAGGACTTTCCTGTAACGGAGGCCAGCAGTTTGACTCATGGGGAGAGAAACAGTTACCTCAACAGCAACCTGCTGATAATTTGTAAAATTGCAGTAAAACAAAGACATTAACTCGCAAACTGCAACCACTTACAGCTGTCTAAAGATAGTTTTAGTTTGACATTTTGGGAAATATGCTTATTTGCTTTCTTGCCAAGAGTTAGATGAGAACATTGACACCACTCTATTATCTGTGCATTTAATATGAAGCTACCAGCAGGAGCTGTTAGTTTAGCTTAGCATAAAGACTAAAAACAGGGGGAAATGGCTAGCCTGGCCCTGTCCACTGGTAAAATCTGCCAACCAGCACCTCTAAAGCTCACTAATAATTAATTTAACACGTCGTAGCTAGCTAACGTTAGCGGTTTCCCCCTGTTTCCAGCCTTTGTGCTAAGCTAAGCTAACTTGCTGCAGGCTGTAGCTTCACCTCTTGCCATGCAGACACGAGAAGTAAAGTAACTCTCGGCAAGAAAGTGAATAAGCGTCTTTCCCAAAATGTCAAATCATTGCTTTAAATGCTTTCCATAGCATGATAATCAAATACAATATGCCTGAGTTCAAGGCCAAGCAACGCCTAGAAAATGCTAATATCTCCGTTAGTTTGGAGTTATGAAACCAGATCAATGGTCTAGAAATACACTGCCGACTAAAAGTATTAGTGCAGTAGTACCTGGTGCTAACTGTGACTTTACATTATCCACATGGAACCGATACTGTAGAGTCTGTCAGTTTCCACTGCTATATCAAAGTCCCACATTGCAATCCTGCTGTGTTGACTTTGCTGAAAATCCAATCCATGATGACTAGATAAATTGAGTGAGCATAGTCACAATGTGCATCTCTCTGGCTTTAATGGGGACACTTAAATCCAGGCTTATCTTTTCACACTTGGCAACAGGCATGTGTCCGCAGATTTATATCACACAGGCGAGGACACAGACCTGTTTGGACCCAGTGACCCAGATGAATCAGCCGCTCGCTATCAAAGAAACATGGGGGCAAACAAGAGAAACTTGCAACAACAAACAAGGAGAAAAGGGGGGGGGGGGGGGGGCTACCTAGTTGCAAACATACGTTGGCCTGCTCCAAAAGTCTGGAGGCAGATTTCTGTGAAAGCATAGGTGAAGCCAACCCTCCATGTATACTATCTAGCCAATTAGAGTAAAGAGGGAGAGGGCTGTAACTCTGCCAAAATGTAAACAGGCCAACTGCTGACAGCAGCTCACACCATGAAGGGAGAGAGGAGGAGGAGGAGGAGGAGGAGAAGGAGAAGAAGAAGAAGAGGACAAAAAAGAAGGCTTGGCAGGATGGATGGAGGGAGACACAAACATCTGCACTCTTAAAAACAAACACAGGCCCTGAGGCTTTGGAGCAATTGGAGTGTAGTCAGTGATAGAGTAGAGCAGGGGTGAAATCAAGTGTCGCTAATCATCTCAATTTGATGAAGTCACTCACTGAATATAATCCCAACACGAGAGCAAAAAAAGATAAATCGAGGCCTAAGTAATGAAGTACAATGTGTAATACTACGACTGCCTATTGCCACTGCAGCACTTCTCTGTTGCCATTGTCTGAGACTTGTATGGATAAGAGAGCATACCGTTTCCTGCTTTGAATGTACATTTTGCCTCACGACATCATAAAAAAAAAAAAAAGCTGATAATGACTGGCTGCGGTCAAAAGCAAACTTCAGTTGTAACCTTTTGATGCCAACACGTCTGACACACTGTTATTTCCGTATGACGTGAACATTAGCATTTGTAGCAGTTTATAGCTCCCAGCGCTCAGGCTCCAGCAGACAGACAGCGTCACCACTCCCTCCTCCTCCTCCTTCAACCCCCAGTCACCGCCAGAAATAGCTCCCTAACATTTCCAGCTTATTACCAACAACAGTGACGACAGTGCTGGGCGATAGGAGAGGGTGTGAGTGACAGGACCATAGTGACCAGAGCTCACACTTTCTTTAACTGACTGTGATGACCGAGAAAGCAGCGTCACATAGGGGTCATATTATCCCCCTGCCATACTGTATATGATAACACAGTGGTCTTTTTAATATTTTAAAAGTAGCATTAACTGATTTTTTGATGACTTGGGGGCAGACACTGACATATTATCAACTTGTAATGGTTAGATGGTGAACGTGCTAGCAAGCAGTTACCCATTTACACATCCGGCAGACACAGAGCAACATTAGCATTCATTTGCAGCTGTGTTTCTGGGTATCAGGTGCCCACAACGCAAGTACAATATTTACTTTCCGTTTAGCTGTGTTTTGGTCCCCACAAACTCCTTAGGGAAATATTTGGCGCTTTAACTGCTAAATGCTCCACCATGTTCACCAGCTGGTTGCTAACTTTGTCTGTTGTTTGCTGCTGGGCACATAGCATACAGTGGGTTCATCAGAGCTTTTTCACAGAAATCCTGCTGTGACTGAAAACAAGGTCAGTGAGAAAACGGTGAGAGTGCACCAGAACAGTAAAGTAGCGAGTCATAAAACCAAAACAACAAGCTAAAAGAAGCTAAAATGCTCTGTAGAGCTGAAGAGAGCTGCAGAGTCAGGCGATAATTTGTCATCACAAGCGACCTCTTTCAGATATTGTCATTTGACTTGCTGTTAATATTAAAATTTTGATTGATGCAACTTTAATGTCATAACATGATATTATCGATATTGCCAAGTGTTGGCATATTTATGTTGTGACTACATACAGCAGCGCCAAACATGGCAAAAGTAACATCGCTGCTGGCTCCACTGTGGAAGCGGCTTTGATATATAGAAATGTCATATTTACAACAAACCACTATTATATATAAGCCCCTCCCTGGCATTAATAATACTTCCTTTGGACCCTGCCCTTGACTTGAAAAAAAACAATCAAACTGCAAAGCCCTCCCACAATACCGCAAATAATATAAAAGTACTGAGTTTGTACAATTTGTTTCACCATCAACAACAAAATGTGCATAAAGAATTAAGATTATATACTGCAAATCTACAGCAAACATTACAAAACGGTGTCTTGATTATTGAACATTCCATCTACCATCTAGTCACAGAATGAGAAAAATTGCTGCTATTGATGTGACTTTTTTTTACAATAAATCTTACATAGGAAGAATGTAATAACATATATCAAATCTGAAAAGACCCAAAAGAAAGAACAAGAGAAGACCCAAAAAATAGACTTCTCTCCCTTTAGCAAAAAGAAGAAACACATAAAACAATATTGCATGTGTATTGTTATGACACAAATACCCTACAATATCATGATATCACCTCTAGCTTCAAAGACACAAAAAAAGGTGCAGATAGACAATGCATGACAATGTATGTAAGAGAATAATACAATCTGAACTGAAGCGAATCTGTTCCTACTTCCTCTCTAAGTTGCCATTTCTCTCCAAGCACCAAATGAGTCCTAGCCTGTCCCTGAAGTAGGCCTGAGCCACAATATGAGTCATCTCTAAACTAAAAACACTTTCATAACTGTACAGACACACATCGCCGGCAGTTTAATGTGAAGCAGGACGGAAAGTGACGACTTCCTTCCATTCGGTCAAGCTTGGAAGGACGTTTAACACGGGTAGAGCCTGATGACCTCTTGATGCGAACCCCACAACCGTAAATCCGCTGTTACGCAGTCCACATGAGAGTAGGACACACTCACGCAGTCATGCAGATGTGCACTTGCTCTCAACCCTGAAGCTATTAGCGCTAAGAAATCTGTCAACAGGCATCTGGCCAAGCTCACTTGCCAGTTAATATAGAGTGTGACATAGAGAGGATATTTTAGCGGTTTCCCTTGGAGTTTTGGAGAGTGTGTGTGTGTGTGTGTGTGTGTGTGTGTGTGTGTGTGTGTGTGTATGTATGTGTATGGGGGGGGGGGGGGGGGTAAATTAGAGTGAGAGATGATTTCTACACAAATCACTAGTCCCACATGTCTCCTCCTCTTATATGGCGGCATCCTCCAGCTGCCGTAAGCTCATTCATTCCCCTAAAAGGATGCTGCATTTTTCCTCCTGGCTTTGGATATTAGTAGAGCCAAGCCTATTCAAAATAATCCTCCCAAGCTAAAATAAAAAAGGGATGTTGAAAAATGAGAGTGGGGGAGAACTGCCAGAGATTTCCGCAGGTCCACTAGACGCAGCATATTACCATCTGCCTATGGAATGTCAGTTATTTCCAGAGGTCTTTAATAGCTTTCCTAATATGACACACAGCAGCCCCTGGGCCAGAGGGAGTGATGTAGTTGCAAGGGGTTGGTGCTACTCTGATCACCTGCCTGAAGATGACACCCGAGAGGCTGCGCAAAAAGAAGAACAACTTTCACACTCCTCAGGTACTCATTCAAGCAAACAGTTGTGGGGTCAAAGCTCTTGGCGGTTAGTTATGGAGTCATCATATAGCGCATGTGTCTTTCTGCGAGATGACTACAGGGGGTACCTCAGATAAACAGACACCTCCATGCTTGCCCAGCATGAGCTACGAATTCTGGGTAATATGATTCTTCACAAAACTCTAAAATGGCGACGCACCCAAGGTGATATTTATTGGTGTAGACTTTGATGTCTGATGGGAAAATAGAGATTATGGTCTGAGAAACAGTTGTTACCTTTCGGTGGGAAGTAGGATTTGCTCTCAGCTTTGTGGGGCCAGTCTACCACCAGGTGCCCATAGCGACGGAAACTGTTGGTGATTTCATCTATAAAACAGAACAGACAGGCATGAATATTATTTTCATGACATTATAAGATAGCATTCATGTAAAATGCATGTGAAGGACTCTATGCAGAGCCACATTCAGGGCGGAGACAGGCACAGTTTCTATTTTTTGCTGTGTTCTTGTTTAATGCAGTGGCTACTACTGCAGCAGGAACACAGGCCAGGAACATCCAGTCTGCACTGGGCTGACTCGTGCTGTGGAAACTCATTAATTTTTCAGCCAGCACGGGCACGTATTGTGCCTGCACTCAGTAGAACATGAAAGTAAACATTCCATATTAACCTTAAACTCTTTGGTGCTCCAGAGATTGTGGAAACAATTACAGATCCACAACGTAACCGGTCACAGACGGTAAAGCATTGCAAGTGACTTAAATAAAGATACATTCTCTACGTCTGGTTCCTCTAGACTCTCTGTATGGGAGAGTTGGGAAACTGATTAAACCACATGCCATGCACTTTTTGGGGTGATCCCACCCCAAATCTCACTCTCTGCCTTAGAAGCAGATCTGATTGCCTTTGCCACCTTGCTGGCCAGATCCTGCTGAAATGGAAATCTTCAGTACCCCTTTCTCACAACCTTGGTTGTTCATGCTTTTAACCAAAACCTAAGTAGATAAGACATACGGTCAGGGGGTCGACATGTAAATTCAATAACACATGGGGCCCATTCTTTAGACTTGTTGAGGGGTTCAGTTTCCTGGCTGTTCCAGAGTGAATCACATCAGCTCCCTCCAATTTTCTAGATGAATTATTGCATGTGGAGCTGTGATATAAGTGTAAGCATATATGATTAAGCCTCACTTTATTTGCATGATATATAGTGTATAGTGTGACTGAAATGCCTTTCTGCATTTATGCATATTATCTGGCTGGTCTGGTCATTTTGGTCATTTTCACAAGTCAGGTTTTTGGTTACAACTCATTGGTGTAAAAATGTCAAACTGTATAGCAAAACCTGTGATGTATTCAGGCTATTTAATGGAAATTTAACATTAATATCGCAGAAAAGGCACCCAAAAGAATACTTCGATGCACTTTTTCTCTTGCTTGCCAAGAGTTAGATGAGAAGCCACGGCCACGTCTGCACAGTAAAGGTGAGTCTTCTGCCAGCAGCTAGTTAGCTTAGCTTAACACAAAGACTGGAATTAAAGGGAAACAGCTAGCCTGGCTCCAAAGTTAACAAAATGATATCTTGTTTGTTTAATCGATACTGTCCAATGTGTACAAACGGCATGTTGTGACTTTATGGGGGCTAAGCTACAATTACTGTACAAGTATAAATGACGCATCAATCCTCACATCTAACTCTCGGCATGAATGCAAACAAGTGAACTATTTCTTCAGCTTTGTCAGCTGTCAAAAATCTGTTCTTTGATTAGGGGTCATTGGTTTAAAACCCAAGCTTTTAACAGAAGTTTACGGTGGCTGAATAGTGTGTTAAATGAATATCCTCAACAAGGAGTGTCTTGGTACTCTTAAGCAAGGCTCAGGTACTTCAGTGTAACTGTTGGCAAACATCCAAAGACAAAGACTGTACTGGGAGGCTTCCAGTTGTGAAAGTACAATCTAGTATGCATCAGGACACAGCTCTAGAAGTGCTGTGCTGAATAAGGGCCTGGGATTAAGTAAAAACCTTTCTCTAGACGTGTAAATGAAAAACAATCCTCTGTTTACCTTCATCTATGTCAGGGGGGAGGCCTCCGACAAAGACCTTCCTGGAGTAGCGCTCCATCCTCTCTCCGTTCTGACAGCGGGTTGGCGAGTTCAGGCCCGGGGTCAAGGAGGGGTCGCCATGGCCATCGTCGAGGAAACCATCTTCAAAGGGAAACAGACAGGAGCGACCTGGGAGCACAGGAAAGGAGGAGGGCACCAGGAAGACAGACAGAAATAACAGGGGAAGATGGAGAGGTACAAGAGTGAAAAGTAAATGGGGGGGGGGGGGGGGGGCAGGGTGTGACAAATAGAGTGAATTAATCACATCTGGAAACTACAATTGTAGCAGAATCAGTTTGGATACTGGGATTACTGGGAACCCGGTCTGTCAATAAAGTGAGATGGTGGTTTGTTTTCCTTAACTTCTCGAAAGTATGTGGACACCCATGAACATACAGTGACTCCCAAGTTCAAAGGTCTTGTGGAAAGAAGATGTCTAACAATCACATTGTATATCTAGGTGTTCACATACTTTTAGCCATAGTCTATATAAAATTATAATCATGATATCATAATGTCATTTTGGGAACTTCACGGTGATGCCCACTCCTAATCCTCATTACAACACCAATCTGCCTGACCTGCAGGCAACATGCTGGATGCAGCACATAATGAGAAAGGAGGGGCTGTTGATCAGTCAGTAATCAGCATGTTTATGGTATTCTCTCCTAGTCGGACACATCATGCTTGTGGAATTCTAACCAAACCATGTTTCCCACTGGGAGCTTTCCACTGGTGCAGCAATGTCTTAGCAATATTTTTGTGTATTTTTGGACTGCGCTGTTGCTTATCCTTAATATGTATGTTCCATGCACTAGAACCACATTTGTCTCTCTTTCTTTCGCAGGGTTGATATTTGACTTTTTGATAAATGCGGTAAGCGATTCACATGCTTACATTGTAAGGAATGCTGCTCTTTCTGTCTCCCGTCTTTCCTACGCGAGTTCATTTTATTGAAAGCAATTTGATTCAGACATTATTTATTGCACTTATACTACAATTACAACATATATGTGTAACTCCAGCCCAACACTGCTGTGACCTTACAAATGTCACACAGCAGCTTTCCTCCTCGCTGAAGGAAGACAGAATTATTAAAAAAGCACATCAAATCAGAGATGAGCCATGTTGTAAGCACCCATCTTTGCCAATCAGATGATGAGTCACTTCTGAGTCAGCATACTCCTCCATGAAACCCTTGAGATTTATTTTGGAAGCACTACAACCTAACATGCTTGAAAAGGTTTAGTGTTTGATTTGGTGGCAGCATCACGCTGCCGTTGTCTGGAGAAATGGAGTCCATCCCTGTGTACCAAATACTGCAAATAGATGATGTGTTTTTACAACTGATGTTACTTTTCTTTTACAATGGGAAGCATTTGCGCAACACCCCCTAACTTTGCTGTTCATAATATAACCATTACAGGTAGAACACTGACTCAGAATAGAGAGAAAAGAAAACTGGCAGACATTTTTTTCCCTCTCAACATTAAGCAAAACAAGATTCATATAGACAGATTTGGTGGACCCTTGCCCCATGTTAATTAAACACACAACATGGAAAACAGTGTGTCAAAATGAATATGATTTCATTCAATCACAGCACAGATGAAAAGCAGATAGTGACACCACACTAAGACACCCCTCAGCCTCGGAGAGATACACAGCCGGCATGGCAAACAGAACCCCAGAGAAAATGCCTCACGTTACCTCTTCTGCGGCCATAGCTCCGGGCTGCTTGTCAGCACAGTGGGGGAAGGTGAGAGACACAAGGAGAGACAGAGGGTTGGGGCAGGAACAAGGGTAGGAAAGAGATACAGAGACGTGGGTTTTGTGGAAATAAACCAAAAACATCTCTAAGGCAACAGTGAAACCACAGATGGCCACACCTAAGGTTCGGCAACAGGAGGAGGGAGGGTGATTATTAGAGCCTGGCACGAGCCCACAGTAAACCTGCCGCACCTGCCTTGGCAACAAACACATGCAGATGCAGCACAGGGGTGGTGGGCGATAGGTGAGGTTTAGCTAAAACAATGGCAGAGATATTTAGCAGCATAATGCGACACCCAACAGCCGGAGATTGTAATCTCAATTTAATGAACCCGCAATGTCTCGCGTTCGTGCTAATCTTCTGTGAATATACGCAAATGAGGCTATAAAGCAGAGTGCATGCATGACTGAGGGTAGAGCAGGTTAGTCATTATCATGGCCTTGGTGAAATATTAAAAGTTGCTCTCAGGTCAGGTATGGCAGGCCAGGTGTGAGTGGAAACTTCCCACAGGATATGGAGAGGGCATGGAGCTGGCTGGCAGCCTTGGGGCTCTGGGAAGGGAGGATAAAATGGGTGGTGATGGCGCACTGGATAAGACACATGCCTTTGGTGTGAGAGACCTGGGTTCGAATCCACGGTGAGACACCATTGTGTCCCTGAGCAAGACACTTAACCCCTAGTTGCTCCAGAGGCATGCAACCTCTGACATATATGGCAATTGTAAGTCGCTTTGGATAAAAGCATTTAGCTAAATGAATAAATGTAAAATGTTAAGAGGAGGGGGGCAGTGGAGATTCAGGGCTGAATTGATCTAAAAAAGAAAGGGATATGGTTGAAAGCTCCAGGAAAAGCTAGTGAGTGGACCTTGAGATCTGATTATATACAATTTGTCAAGGTCCACTTTGCAGCTTATTCCATAGCTTTCAATTGCTTATTGTCTTCCCCCATATACTGTACCTGTTATCACGTGACATGATTTTCATACTTAGGTCACGTGATGACATCTTAGCTCTCTCCATGACAACTTAGCAAATTCCATCCGTTGAGAAAGCACATAAGATGCATTCAAAAGCTTTGGGAAAAGTTACTGAATAGAGCTTACTAAATAGAGTTACAATGTTTTTGCCATACCACAGTTTCCACAATCAAAAATGTACTTTCACGCTAAATTTAGCTCACATTTTGTTTCAGGATTGTGTTCGAGTATTTCCCTAATCTCTGAAATGCTCCCACAAACAACCTCCATTTGAATATGATGTGCTGCTAATGCAAGCCACGCAGGGGGGGAAAATGTGGCTTGAGACAGCGCAAATTCCAATAAACAGCAGGATGGGTAATACAGCACTAAATAGATCCTGCTGCTCCTCTAAACGCATTAGTCACAAAGCTAACTTGCCTCAAAAACCAACATGGGCCTTTGCATTGTAAGAGCCCCATTGTGTGGCTTGCCCTTCTGGCTTCTCTAGGGGAATATATTGTCTCTGAGCCTCTTCTCCCTTGCTATGTTTTCATTAAAAAGATCTGGCTCTCCAATCCAAAAAAACCTGGGCAGTCCCTCCGCAGCTTTTCCCTCTCGCTGTCTGGCCTCGGCAGAACAAAGCCACCTAGCAACCAGGGCAAAATGAAGAAAACGTCGCTGGGAAACCGTCAGATGCCCCAGTGACAGTGACCCTTACAACCCATAAGGGAGAGAAGGAAAAGCATAGGTTAAGAAACTTTCAACTTTCAAACTGTGTGGTGTCTGGGAGACACAAAGAAAGTGTTTGAAAGTAGGCTGGGAGATACCTCTGGGCATGATGAGTTTGATGTCTCTTGCTTGTCCCCGCTTCAAAGCCTGAGACACTTCTACTAAGCTGTCAAATGAACAGCACCAATAAATCTGGATAGAGGACCTACGCTTACTAGTCTCCACTCTTTCTTTTTCCCTTCAAGTTTTAACACCATCCGGAGAAAGTAGAGCCCCTTACAGGTTCTCCCAGCGTGAAGCCTCAAAGCTAATGGGACGAAATGAAGGAGAAACACTTTAAAGTTGAAACCAAAGCTTCCCTGTCTACACACATCACAGGCTATAGAGGAGAGAGCCAGTTCTGACAGATTTGGAAGATCTGGGCAGATCTGTGCTTGCCTGAGAATAATCCCATGACACAACAGTTTAACATCAATCCGGCACACGTTCTCCGAGGATACCAGTGATGAAAAGAACAAAATGAGGAAGGAGCACCAGTGTTGTCAAGATGTGACGCTAGAAACTGCTTCACCTGCTAATTTTTCTTTCACATCCTTTGCCTTTATCAGTTTCTATACCTTGTAGGCTGACTGAACGTGTCCAAAGAGGAAACTAGGGCTTCACTTATTTGGTTTGATCACCAGTCCATCCAGACACCCTTGATATTTTGCTGAGGTTTGAACAAAAAGACTAGAAACGCGATTGCACCTAAAATCACAAGCCAACATGCCACAAAATGGATGTGTAAGACCCTAAGAAAGCATGTCCCTGATCACATCCAAAGACACATAAAGGGCACTCATAAAAGCAGAGCCTGGCCTGGAAAACTGCAGCATATGGGAGAAAGACCTGATTTCTCGCAATGGCTCGTCTCCTGTCACTGTTGGTCATCTGCCGGCTGATGGGACACTGGGGGGAATCTAGTCTTACATGCTGGGATATATTTGGAAGTGCTATTCACAGGTCAACTGTGCTTCCCCCAGTGCTAAGAGGTCTGTCCTAGGGAAGTGTCAAGGAATCCAGACCTTAGCAAAGGGTAGGCAGGTGCCTCCAGTGCATACTGACATGGGCCTCTGTGGTTAGGGGGCATATGTTTTTGATGGGAATACGCCACAAATATACTTTCCATTCTTTAATCTTTCAAAACACAGGGGGACAAAAAGCAATTGTAGCATTTGTCAGTGAAAATGAAACATTCTGGATTATTTCCAGATGGAGAAGAAGCTGATGGGTACTACAATAAAATGTAACTTACTATTCAATGGCATTATATGGTCTGCTCCAGGATGATGAAAGTTGAGACCCATACGTCCTGTTGAAGAAAAAAAAAAGAAAGGATTTTACAAAAGTGGGAAAACATGGAAATCACTGATTAAACCCACCCTGTTGACAGACATTTTTAATTTTTTTTTTAAATCTTCCATTCTATTGTCAGCATTGGGAAAATGCCAGCCATGATGAAATGCTTAACATGAAATTAAAAAAAACTGCAAATTTACCCAATGTGATACAATGGCAGAAAAGGAAGACCACAGAAAACAGATGTGAATAACGACGTGGAAACACGCATTCCTTTGTTGTCACACATCTCATATGCGCACACACACACAAAAACAAAGGCAGCTACAAGGCTAGGCACTAAACAAAGCGTGCTTTCTACTATGGTGACAATGTGCGCATGCTACAAGAGCCCATCTGTCTGCTTTTGCTGGGAGAGGGATGGTTTGGGACGTCTAAGTCTTCATGGTTATCTCTGTCTCCATCATCCTATTCGTACAGGCGATAAGAAAAATACACTTAAGGCGAGACAGAAGTAGCCTACCTGGTTAAGGACAAAACATTGCAGACTCACTGTCAACATAATTTGCAGTTGTTGCCAGAGAGAGCCGCAGAGGCACACCCTTTATCCCTAACCACTTAAAATTAGGGCCCTCTGTCAAAATCCGCCTACACCAGCTTTTTGCTCAACACACAGCAAACAAGCAGCCTACCTACAGAGTCACTGAAGTATGACTGAAGGTGAAGCAACATTTTCACTGGCATTCACATCGATATTTAGCAAATATCCTTCAGATTTAATGAGACACATCATGCACTTGTGCAGAGGATGAACTCAACATTTGGGTGGGGGGTGGGTAAAGGTTGAGGGTGACAACTGCAACTGATATCTTGCTTTACTGCCAGTGTATGTTTCCGCATATGTAACATGGACTTTGAGAGACCCATCAGCTGCATGTTGCAAGCTGCTGTAGCGCAAACAAGAGGACATGTCAAAAGTTCCTAAATTTGGCCACAGAAGACAGAAGATAGTGGGGACAGCAAGGGGGCCTCTTCCTGGTTTGCAAACAAGAGTGGAACTAGCAGTTAGACCTGGTTCAAAACCGGAGTGGCAGGGTAGGAGGAGGACAAGGAGCTGGCGGTGAACCTGCAGCTCCACAGATGTGTATTTCCACACTCCTCTCAGCCAGTCAGAATCCAGGGCTCGGGGCCAAATTGAGCCTATACGTTCACACACACACGTTTGAACACGTGGACATGCGGCATGGCCTACGGTCACATTATGTTTGCTCTTTTCAACTTATTATCATGGGGAAATGAACATTTATTTTAAAGACTAGATGCACGCAAATGGAGGAGTATCCAATATTGTGCCCTAAAACTGAAGGGTTTTATTTAACTGTTCAGAATGTTCTCCAATCATCCACCTCTTTCCCTGTCTCACCAGCCTTACACCTGTTAGTCAGGCGGGGCTTTCATCTGAGTTCAAGAGCCCCAAGGGGTAGCTGCACAAGAATCATCAGTATTGGTAAATGTGTGGGTGGTCTGTTTGTTAGTCCTCAAACCAAATTACAGGGTTTAAGTCCAAATGTCTGACTGGCTGAAGTGTCCTACAGAGAGAATCCCTTATAGCTCCAGATCAGTGTACTTTGACCGCACACCACTGCATTTTCGTCGAAAATAAGAGGATCAATAAATTACTACATTACGCACTAGACAAGACTACTGCGTTCCATTGAACACATTCACAATCAAAGCCATGACTTTGTTGATAAGAGGGCAAAAGTGTGCACCCCTTTCCATCTACATTAGTCATTTTGGGTAACAGAGGGGGACAGTTGCCCTCCTGAAGCCTTAAAATAACCCTGGGCATGTGCCATCTGCTTCCCCCAGGAGTTGAGTGGCAGGGCCTGAGGGGCCCCTGAGTTGCTGCCGCTGCTCTTCTGGTGACATTTCCTCACCTGGAGTCTGAGCTATTCTCAACCTCCCCACGATGACTGCACAGCAGCGTGGCCACTCGGGAGACACGGCATATGGCTTCATTAGGCATGGATCCAACAGTACCTCCCTTTTCACGTGCCTTACAATCTTCAGGCTGGACACTGACCTCGCTGTGAACGCTTTGGTAGAAATGGGATAAAGAGTACGATGGATTCATCATTTGGGATCTGGTACCCCCAATGGGAATGCTTCAATGTTGTCGCAAAGTTGTCAGACTTTTAAAAAAAGTGCAATAAACCAGGACAAATTAGATTAAAAATCAGCAACATCAGCTGTTTAACTATAAGGGATGTAAAGAAATTTATCACTTTCATCAGCTTCTATCAACAGCTGACAAACTGGTCTGCTGACGCTAAAATTCAACAGGCAGTGAAGCTAAAAAACATTAGCAATTGTATTTTGCTACCTCTGTTCCACATTTTAGCACATATTTAAGCCCCCAATAACACGTCTAGGAGAAAGCTCTAGCAGGAGCTGTAAGATGAGGGTAAGTGTGCCAACAGCAAGGTGTGGAAATATTAGCACTGATGAAAAAAAAACACCTCCGCAGCAGGGTGCCCCAAAACTGCACTTCTTGCTTACTAGTGCCAAAGAAAGCATCAATTAACAACACTACACTGGCAAAAACGGGTAAAAAAAAAACAAAAAAAACATGACATGACATGACCCACTGAGGGGCATGTGTTTTCCACACAGCTGACAAATGACTGGAAAGATTGAGAGGGATGGGTGTTTCTGTAAGAGAACTGGTGAGGAAGTTATTTTGTGTCTCTGTTTGTCAGAAAGGCCTACTTCTTTCCCTTTATACCAGCTTGATCTGAACCCAACAACCTTTGAAAAGACAATTAGAACAGGGTATAGGGTATACGTAAAACTATATAAAATTATTTACACTATAAAACTCAAATGGTGGGGGCATATTTCTAGAAATAAATCCCCCAACATGCCAATGGCCCACTTTTACTTAATGTTTTGTAAAAGTAAGTCACAAAACTATTAAATGCCTTTCATGTCATAACGGAGGATTTCCAGTTGAGCCTGATGCACGACTTGGCAGCAATAGTCATGCTTAAATAGTATTTCATGGCTTGCAATATCTGGACAAACCATGATTTTAACAGACAAAAACAAGCCCAGACTTGTTTTGTTGCCTGGGCTGGATTATCTCAGTAATGCTTGCAGGAGTCATGCATTTCCAACCGTAACGAAATATAGCAGTCTGACAGTGCAGTTTATAGGAAGCAAGGTGTTAACCTTTAACACAGCCAACCAACACATCACCTTATCTCAGTACAGTCATTACTGGGTTACAGGGCATATCACTCTGACACTGAGATCATCTCAAGTGTTGTTAACCACAACGGCTGAAAAGTTGAGAGGTCAGGTCCAGCTTGTCAGCCAAACTTCAGCCCAACCAAGTGTTTGAAATGTTGACATTTCACCTCAGGTTAAGTTAAGGTGACCCCTCTCTGAACCTGAACAAAGAAAAAAGATCAAATAGGCCTCCTCTTCTTTACAAACGTGATCTTTTATGATCTAGTTAAGACAGAAGGAGGTAGGTTTAACAAAAAACGTTATAAACTTAACTTTAATCTCACTGGAGACTTTTACACCATAACTGTGCCTAACGTAGATACAGAAAGAGCATTGTGCTGGCTACATCTTTGCAAAGGTTTCAAGCAAAGCTGCACAGAGACGCCAACTCCTTCATATCATTGAGGCACCTTGTTTAATCACACTGTTACTAATCTGACCTGTAGTGCACTTGCAATTCTTGTTTTCCTCCTGATAAAAGCCTGTGTGTGTCTCAACTCTTATCCACTGACCGACGCTCTTGTCAACAAGCGCACAAAGTCAAAGAGCACCAGTGTTTGCTCTCCCTCAACTACTGACTTCAATTATAGCTGGCACCTTCCATCTGTTACCACAACATTATACCTCATACGGGCCGCTCACCAACACATCGCGGGTGACATCTGAGTCAGACCAGCTGAGGCAACGTGTGTGTGTGTGTGTGTGTGTGTGTGTGTGTGTGTGTGTGTGTGTGTGTGTGTGTGTGTGTGTGTGTGTGTGTGTGTGTGTGTTCAGAGTGAGAGAGACATTGTGGGTGGGGTGGGATCAACACACCGCTTCCACGAGGACTTAAGGGACTTATTAACACTTTTGAGTATCTCAAATACTCAACCTCAGTGAGGTAGGGTGTGTGGGGAGTGGCTCCATGCTGCAGACACAGCTCTGTTGAGCCATCTTTGCTAAAGACAATCATGACAGCCTGAGTGTGTGTGTGTGTGTGTGTGTGTGTGTGTGTGTGTGTGTGTGTGTGTGTGTGTGTGTGTGTGTGTGTGTGTGTGTGTGCGCGCGCGCGCCTGTGACGATATTGCTGGCAGCAGCGGCGGAGGCTTTTGTCAAACTGGTGGTGTTTTTCCAGGCAGAGCTGAGAATCTCTGGTGTGTGTGTGTTTGTGCGAGGGTGCCTGGCTCTCCACACGTGAGCTCAGCTGACCCAGTTCAGGAACTCCATGCAGAACAGTGTGTGTGTGTGTGTGTGTTGCTGCAAAAAGGGCCCGTTTGTTCAGACGCCCCCGGGGCCCTGTTCCCCTCACCCAGGAGTAAAGAGCTTTTAGAAAGTTTGAGAGGACGGCCAGAATAAAGTGTCTCTCTCAGACGACACACACACACACTATCTTTGAAGTTGACTCTGCTCCAAACAAGTGCTAAGAAAAAAACTGGGTAAATTGAGATGGCTTCGCCTGTCTCCCTGTCTTCACAGAGAGGGAGAGAGAGAGAGCGAGGAGGGTGGGGGTCACCTCACACTCTTTTTAGAAGACCCAAGGTTCTCTTTCTCGCCACACTACAAGTGCTTCTCCTTCTCATAAAAACACTCAAGGAAAAACAACTATTCCTGTCACAATGAGAAGTATGCCAGAAACGTCTGTGATGGGATGGATGTGGGTGGGACCCATTCAGTTGGGAATGCAAAAGTGGGCCTACTGGGTTAATTAGTTTTGACTGGTGGTTGTCAGCTGGTGGGCAGTGTCCTCAAAGTGGGATGTCAGACATGGGACGACTGTAGCTAAAAATGAGCAGAGAAATATGTTTTCTTTGTTATCGTCTAGTCTTGGCTACAGTAAGTAGGTTTCAATTAATTACTGACCTAGATCTGTGAATTTAGAAAACGTTAGCACTCAACAACAAAAGAAATAGCTTAAAGTGGAGCGTTGCAACCATTTTATGGCATCTATATGGTGGATTTGTTCTTTGGGTGAATCCTCAGGTTCGTCGGGTTGCACCTGTCCTGTTGGCAATGACTCTCTCTGAGTGTGAATGTTAGTCTCTGTTTGAGTACTTAGGCTCAGTGTATGAATGTGTGTGAATAGGTAAGTGCAATGTAATTTAAAAAGCGCTTTGAGTGGTTGCAAAGACTAGAAAGGAGGATTTACATACACATCTGAAAGCTAAGACGACGTTAGCTCATTGACTTACAATCAGATAAAGTTCTTCTCAGCCTTAAGACACTTTTGGGAAACTATGCCCTCGTCTGTCTACGACATACCAGCAACTAGGAGGTAAAACAACAGAACTTCACAACTGCAGTCGTCTTTGCTGCAGTCTGACAGTTTGTGACATGTGTGATGTGTTTGACGATTTGACGACACATCTGGTACAGTGCTCACTGATGGCTTCTTGATCCCTGGTGAAAGCAACCAATCAACAGTTGAGCAGGCAGGATTCAGAATGGGGAAGTCATCGTCCTACATAGGTAGCATGTTAGTACGCTTTAGTCAAGAACAATAAGTGCCAGAAAAATGGCTACAGGCAATGATGAGATCAGAGCTCTTTCACTTTTCCAGTGGGCTTTACATTTCTATGTACTGCAACAAATGACACACACACACACACACACACACACACACACACACACACACACGGATGTAGACAACTGGCACAGTCAAAGAGAAATCGAGAAATTTCTTAACAAATGACTTTTGAACCTGAGCCCAAAGCTTTAAAGAACAAAATGACCCAGAACTGTTTTGGTCGGGTGGCAAAACTCTTACCCCAGGTACAGCGTTTGTTATACAACTCAACACTAAATCAGTATTGTCAGAGACATTTCAATAGAGGGATCCATGGGATGAAATGTGCCGTAATGTGTTTGTTTGAAATGTTTGAAGTTCTAAATGATCTCCTGAGTTGAAAAAAAGGCAGCACCTGCAATGCGTTCTGCAGTAGATTACACAGCAGACCGGCTCGAAGCATATGGCCCTTCTAAGACAGTGAGCAGGTACGCTAGCAGGGTGGAGTTGTTCTGTGGTTAGCACGGTAGCTTACTGCAGCCCTGCGCCGTCTACATGATGACGAGATGGGTAAACAAGCAAAGAGAGATGCGGGAATGCACACCCATTTCCATGCAGCACTCTCCCCCCGTCTTTCCTTGTATCTCCATTGTCTCGCTTTCATAACAATCACAAGGGAAGCCCTGCAGGACATTACGACACCTTTCCAGCGAAGTCAGGCCAGGCCAGGATGACCATTTTGCTGTTATGCTCTCTCAGCACATGACTGGGAAAACAGACTCCACGCATGAGAAAGCGACATGCTCTCCTCATTATATACCACTCCCACCAATCTTTCCATTGTTAAGACGGGAGGATGGGGAAGCATAAAAACCCTACAACCAGCCTGACAGGGCCCCATCTGGGAGACAGGATTCAAAGTTTTTACAATAGACACGTGATAGTGCTTCAAAATAAAATTGGCTTAGAAGGCCTGACATGCATTGGATGGCCTTAAAAGGTGTAAAGTCAGATTTCTTAACAGTGTTTTCATTATTTGAAAAAAATTCTCTTTACTTCCCAGGAGATAAAACGTTAATTTATTTTAGTATTATTCAGCATTATACCATTTAGAAAGACCTCCTTCTGTGTATCAAGGTTGCTTAGAAACACTGATTTGATCTTTAATCTATGACTCAGTCATGGCACGTCCAAGCCCACAGTCATGCAAAAAATAAAGGTAATAAAAAGTATAATCTGCCTCACTGAGGAAAAATGTAAAACACAAATATACCACTCAACATTTATGCTCACAAGATATTCAGTCAACAAAAGCACGAGTCGTGTGACATTTTCAGTGATCTATTGATTCCAATCAGTACAAAGCCAACAAGCAAAGAACAAGAAAGGGCAAAGGAAAACGCAATTTGCAAAGTAAAACCACATGAGTGCGCATTGCTGCACATCTGGTCCACCACACATACACACAAACAGAAATTATGCACGATTTTGCAGGTAAGGTTCATAATGTTATTAATTTCAATTTCAATAGAACATGATGATCCATACCGGATTGGATAAGAGATTGGCAAATAGAGCAAAAGAATAACAAAAAGGTACCCAGAGATGATATATGCCCAGGAAGCAAAAAAACCAAACAACCCAAATACTGTAAGCATGGACGTATGAATATTCCTAACCTGCAAAATGATTCCTCCATATAATATCAGCGATAGTCATTGGTGGGCCACCGGCAGGGTGTGGTTTACCTTTGTCATGGTCAGTCCTTATCATATCCATTAAGGAATTCTCCAAAGAGTGCAAGCTAAAAGCATCAAAGGGCCGATTCCGGTCCTGCAACACAGTAAAACAGGAAGACGGTTAGGATTAGAGTCACCGCACTAGATCCTATACAAATTAAACACGTTGAGCATTTTATGGCTGCTAACGTAGCTACTGACAGTTATGAGGCAAAGCATCATTAATATGTAACTCTGGTAGAACAGCTTAAATACAAATGCTTCTGTAACTCTTGGATATTTCTTTCATATGGTGTTAATATTGCACAGTACAGAGTACAAATTATTATAAGTTGAATATAACAAAAAAATAAATAAACATTAAAAGACACAGTGGGGAACAATTTGAAAAACGCTGTGTGAAGAACACGATCTTCAAAAGCTGGCAAACTTCAAGTTGCAAATTTGAACTTGCTGTTGACATTCTGATTCGTTGCTTACCTTGCTCAAGGGCAACTCACTGGCAACAACTTACATGTACCAACAGCTCCGGTTTCTGTTAAAAATGCAAGACAGGCTGGGAAACATTCTTAGCTAATCTAGACTTAAATAAATTTGGGGTCTGAGACAAAACGTAGTAGTAAAAAAATGGGTCAGCCCTGGGGATGATGTTAATACAGCTGACATTGAAAAGGAGATATGAATCTTAGTCAGAGGTTCCTTAAGCCTTTTTATGTCAAAAAGCTACAGTGAAAGCACGGACAAGATTCAGCTCGCGAGGAACACATTCTCTAATTTATTCTGCAGGTTGAGGGTTAACAGAAAGGCAAATTAAATCTACGATCAAAGCAGTTACTCCTTGCGTTTTTTTTAATTGATGAAGTACTCAACTGGAGGTTCAGTCCTGGCAATCACTCTTTTTGACAAATGACACTACCACACAACTGAAGAGGATCCGACTAGAGCTGAAAAGCTTCCCAGGTGTAGTACCCGAGTAACAGAGGCAGGTGTGGGAATTGTTGTTTTTTTCAATACAAGACACAATACCTAAGTTAAAGTACAGATATCAAAATTATACATTTTTCAATACCTTATAAATAAACATGTCATTAAATATAAATACATTTATGCCCTTTCAAAAAAGGTCTGTAAATGCTGTCCAAATAAAATCAGCCACAAAGAACTTAAATTTGTCTGACTTGCAACATTTTGATCTAAGTCATGAAAGTTATGAATAACTAGAGATTATGGAAAGATGTTATGAAAGCACCTTAATGCCATCTAGACCCTTGTTTTCGGTTCCATCGGACAGGAACTCAGCTGATACAACTGGTTTTGAAACTGCTGCTAAGATGTTTATGCTGTATCAGGTGGCAGGTTTCATTTGGTGTGCATTTGTACCTGGTGATGTACAAAAGGTCTCAGGTTCTAGAAATGAGTTCAGTGAGTTAGATTGGTCCAACTGAACTAGACAGTCACTTAAAACACTTAAAACACTTCCCTTTGAAGTGTTTAAATGCCCACTGTGGGTGAATGAATTTATGAGAATGACATGCGTGCCAAAGGTAAAGCCTGAGAGCGCGACTAACCGGAGCTGGAGGCTGTAGCCTTGGCAGCTGTGTCCTGTGTCCGCTGCCCAGGCCGGGGCCACATTGTTTGCACACCACAGCTATTGTTGCCCATTCGGCTGAGCATTCAAAAGTGTTATTCCCTCCACTCAGGACCCGACAGCGCCACGTAGATAAAAATCTGCCCACTTGGTACAAACGGTAAACATTTAAAACGCTGAGCTTTTCGTTTTCTCCCCCTCCCCCTCCTCTCTGACACATGTGGATGAGCACAGTGACGGGTGGGGGTCGGAGAGCTCAGTGTAGTCAAATGACCTGAAGAGATAATGTACACAAAAGTCCCAAACAGACTGTTTGAACACATCCCATAAGACAACCCGACATGTGGAGCGCAGGTTCATGCTGACCTAACTTGACTACACTGCAGCTCATCTTTCCTTGTGACACATAAACATGATATAAGAGGGTTTAGAGGGAGGTCATGATCAGAAACAGACTAAGCATTTAAGATATGGCTGAATACCCATTTTTTAATGAATAAAGTCTGCTCAGTAAGGTTAAGCGCTGCCAGACTCAGGAGCAGTTGGTAAATTTATCATTTATTGTTTTTTTCCTTTGTAAACTGTCAAAGGTTCTTGCTTTAAATGTTAGTATTAATGTGCAGCTCCACTGGCAATCAATAAATCAACCAACCAATCAATCGAAAAGGCTCAAAGAAAAAATAAGTCTAAGGGGCCCTAGTCCAACAAGTTACAATGCAGTTACACTATGTATACCATAATTTAATTTTAAAAAGTCTTCCCACCTTTATTAAATAGGTATTTTAATCTGAAGAAATATTATTTATTGATCAATAAATTGAAAGACACTAGCAATTCTTCACATTTGAAGAGCTAAAAAAATGACTTGATAAATGACTTTAACAATCTATCAGCTACATTGTTGGCGATCATCATTTTCTGTCAAACAACTACACAATTAATTTATTAATCGTTTCAGCACTCACGTGAATGTTCCCGAAGGGCATAAACCTACCCTCTGTTCATGGCACCCACAGCAGTTGGCTGTGCTTTGCTGACCTATATTTTGTGTAGCTTATTTAAATACATACAAGGTTAAATCTGGGTCATCTGGAAGCTGAGATGAGACAAACGTATTGCCAAAATAGAAAGGCAAGTTTAGGTGGAACATGAAGCTAAAATGAAAAAAGCTAAACAACATTAAATACCTGGTGTAAATCAGACTAGTTGCTCGTTGAAGCTCCTGCCGTTTTGCATAACCATCGAAAGCATTTGACTGTGACCCTCCACCTGTCAGTCTGTCTACTAACTTTCAACTTTTTGATCTGATATGATGTGATTACAATCACAGGAGGACCACACAAGCCACTAACATCATGTCAAATCAGGGCATCTCCCGAGAAGCTCATGTGACTTTGCGTCTTAAGCCTCACGCTGACACGTTAAGTTGCATTCCGCACATTCCTCAGCCTTTCAGCGGCAGGCGGCAGCCAGCAGCGGGAGAGAGTAGGAGCACATGTCGGAGCACACCCAACATTTCACCCTGCGCCTCATCTGGAGCGTCTGAAGAATACCGAAGGAGATCTACAGGATGACAACAAGTACACCTGTCACCAGCTGTCCACATGACAGTGCGGGGGCCCGGTGTATGTGTACCCTGCATGCCGCTTGGCTCAGCAGTTTGCCTCAGTTTCACTTCAGCAAACAGGACAGTTGACATGTGGCACCCTGACCTTGCATCTTGGTGATAAAGCTCCTCCAATTATGGGTGTAATTGTTAAACAGTTAAGTGTGAGCTACAGCTAGGACTGCATTGCTGAGGTCCCCATAAGCTCTTAAAAAATACCTTCTCTGTCAAATTGATATTGTCTTTTAAAATAGGTTATAATTTTTTTTAATAAGGTAACTCTGTGTAACTCTGGCAAGTCTGATTAAGAGGCATATGCTTGAAAAATCACTGCAGCAATAAACTGAAACTGAAATGTGACTCATAACCTCCACCATATCTGCAATATCATGATGAGCCGATAATGCAAATAATAAACCACCTTATTCGATAACTGGATATAAAGGAATATATCTTGTAACCTAAATGTAAACTTGCTTTTTAAAATTAATATGTATCAATATGAGAAAAACCAGGGCTGCCATAGTCATCTGCCACAGCCAACATTTACCCTGTATTTGGCAGGTGACATGTGCTAGTTTCACTTTCTGGAGGTACTCAACAGAGGAAACTGTGTAATAAAGCAACAGGAGGCCTGACTGACACACACAATCATCATCTCCTCAAAAGGCTATACGTTTCAAGCCGGTTGGAATTTCACCCTGCGCTGGGCTGCGTTTCGTCTGCACATATAGTCCTCTCTGCAGTAACAGTTTAACATTTTGGCTGGTGCTCCGATCTCCAGAGTCCTCACTGATCGGGCAAACAACTACTACTTTTTAAGTAAGCCGGTGACTTAAGGGGGGAGTATTCAGCTGGCTTATTGTTTATGTTGGCTTGTTTGTCAGGCAGCATAACTAAACATAGGGGAACACATGACTAGCACTGTGAAAAAGCCTTACAGTATTGGGAGTGTTCATAGTTAGTCAACTCCGCAATCAGAAATGTCAATCAAGGCAGGATGCAGACCGAAATAAAAAGTAGTGGCGTTCACTATAAGTGCTGGTGAACATAGATGAGTCCAGTGGAATCTTATGTATGGACCAAAATACAGGAAACAACACTGTACGTCTCCCTCTCCCTCTTACATATCATTGTAGGGCATTTAGTGATATAAGCAGAAATAAAGGGCAAAGTTGGGATCGGACAAGGAAACTGTAATAAGAAGGTTCCCAGTTAGTATCAGTGTTCACATATTGTTGGTTAAGCTTTTCTGTATTCAAAGAATATAGAGGACATTCTTGGTCTTTTCTCTGTCAACGTGTAACTTAACTTACTCTGTTACTGTAGCTAACAAATACTAGGCACGTGTTGTGATATGAGCCTTCAGCCAAAGGTATTTTGTCGTATGGACTTCTCAGAGGTACAGAGTAACCCCTTTTCGAACTAGGGCTATCTTACTTTAATATTACTTGTTGGCTGTCAGTTTTTTCGCTCTTGAACATAAAACCAGCATACTCCATGACCTGTCATTAGCATGTTTTTCCACCCTTAATAACAGGTAGCTTTCCTGGTCGTGCAGCCCTCACACAGCAGAAGCACGGACATATGTTAATGTCAGCACCTGTACTGTGTAAAATATTTTTGTTGAAACTCACAATAAGAGCGTAATATTGGCTTCTTCTTACTATATAATTGTGAAAATCCTTTACTTTCCGGGTTGGACCTGCGCTGCGTTCACCTCTCAGTTCCAAACCACGCCCACTATCCATCACAAGCCAATCAAATGCGAGTATGGATGTTGCCTTCATATTCTGTCGAAAATCTTGGAATTAATGGGGAGAGAGGACGTAAACTACCAACCGTGTTGAAAACAGCTACAAAAAAATAAAGCATTTTTACGAGATAATGAGGGAAGAGCAAGGAAGCCGTCTAATAAAAACCTATGGTTAGAATGACTAATTATTATTATTATTATTATTATTAATATTACTAATAAATGTTGGTGTTTTTATTTTTTAATAATGGGCATGAATGTAACCCCCAATATTACAATTACAATATCCTACAATAATATACCCTCAATGTACCCTCAATATTCAGTCATCTTGCCATGCATTCTACATATTTACAAAACCTTTATAGCCTATAGGACGCATCAATTAAAAAGCTTAATGGCTGATGTATGATTTCTCCCGTTTACTGTGCAGCACATCCTTTCTGCAGCTTACTGTAAAGTAGGTTATTTATAACATATATCACAGGAAACAAGAAATCCTTTCTGATCATTGAGGTGAACTGATCAAGAGTGTTTATACGGGTCTTGTCCGTCTGAATTTAGGAGGTTAGGAGGAGCACTTGAATGCGTCATGTGTCCTTTAAACCTCACGAGTGAGCTGGCAGAGGAAGTTTAACCATTTAATGCAATAAACCGCGCACAGCGAGTATTTCTGGGTCTGACTCAAAGTGTTTGTCTTTGAATGCGTAAAAATAACTATGGTCGATGGTTAATATTTCGCACATTTAAAATAACAAGGTCTTTTATCAAAATCAACTTAAAATGAATGCCTCTGCGGTTGCGTCGGTAACCTATAGTCAATGTGTGAGAAACATAGAAAATTATTGGCAATGTGTAGGCTATGATTCATGCTATAAAATAAAGCCTAATTGTAAATGTGTCCAATTTGCAAAGGACATAATTAGCATCAATCACTAAATCAATCAATAATATATGAACCTAATGAATTCATAGGCTACTGATGGGCTCAGGGTGACCTTATCGAATAGCCTTTTAATATCTCAGGCACTGATGGTTTCTAATGAATATTTATGTAAAATACATTTTTAAAAAGGTCTATATTTTTGAGAGGTCGACCACCAGGTTAAAGCTGAGAACATTGGTGAACACGTTTAAATAGCCTACAGGCTGAAGAGACAGAGCTAGGCCTAGGCCTGGGCTTACTGTTTATGGATTTACCTGGAAAGGCAGTATGTTGTTGCTGTTGTCAGTCCTGAAGGCGCTGTCCTCCATCCACGGCTTGGGGGTGAGGGGACCAGGTCTTGGGAATTTAGGGGGTGCTATAACATTGCTGCTATAGGGCTTTTTCATTGGGGAGATAGGGTTCAGGGGGGACGGCACCCCGACGCCGACTCCGACCCCGACGCCCACCGCTCTGCGCGGGTCCCTGCCTGCTTGCAGCCCGCTCCAGGGGTTGGAGGCTGTGTTCCATGCGGCGTTTTGGTGATTATTCCAAGCGGACGACGGGGCAGAAGAAGACGACGACGACCCCTTGCTGTTATTCATGATGGTCTGATAAGCGTTTCTCTGGGGGAAGGGGCCTTGGTTAGGGCTGACAGGGGATCTCCTCTGCTGCTGCTGCTGCTGCTGCTGGGCTTGCTGTTGATGCTGTTGGGACTGGGGAGCCAGACCCATCTGCGGGGAGAAATTACCCCCGAAGACCGGGTTGACGTGGTGGGGGAAGTTCTGGAAAAGCATCGTCCCGTTCACCGAGGGTATTCCCTGGAAAAAGCTATCGTCCACGGCGTTTGTGGACCCCGTGGACCAAGTGCTCCCAAACGAAGAGGAAGGGGAGGACAGGGGACCGCTGGTCTCCTGCGGCTGGTGGTGGAAGCTCAACCCGGGCAGGATCGGCGACTCCATCGGCACTTTGTCCTTGCTGCTGCTGTTCAGCGCTGAAGCCGCTTGGTTGCTCCCGGCTGACGGGCTCTCCGACTCCGATGAAGAAGAAGTGGGTTCCGATGACGGGGTCGGGGTGGAGGGAGGAGGGTCTGCTTGCGTCGGATCTTGCTGATGATGAGGCTGGGCTTTGTTTTTGTCCATCAGTAAATCATCCTGCATGGTTTGCTGAGCTGCAACGGGGGGAAACAGAGACGAGGAGTTATTATTATTGTTGTAATTTAGCAGATCATACACCGGGCTCGCTGGGCTGCTGTAGAATCTGATGAACTGGGACAACTCCGACATGGATATGATGTTAGAGGGACCAGGCAACTGCAAAGCGAATGCGTGATCACCCATTTAGCCGAAAAGACAAAAAAAAAAAAAATCACACTTCCCAAGCCTAACAGACTGATTCACAAATCCCACAAATTACACGGAGCATATGGCTGCAGATATTCACCAGATTTCGCCACGTCTCGTTTTTCCTTCCACGCATGAACTCCGGAGCTGCAATGTGAAACTGATTCAGTGTGTGTTTTTTGCCCAAGGACCTCCCCTATATTCATTTACATACGTCAGTAAATACAGTCAGCTGTCCTTCAGCAAGGTTAAAAGACAGGTCTACCTTGACACACACACGATCACGGAGCCCTTTTTTCAAACTAAAAAAAACTTCCACCAAAAAAAAGGCACACTTCGCCCTTTTTTATGCAGTAGAAAGTGACGCACCTGAACCACTTTATTATAGGCTACCGCAAAGATCTCTCATGTGCCTGTGGCTAAACATTGCCCTTACAATGACTATCGGTCTTATTATATCTCGGCGTATAAGAGAATTAATTTGATAAATAAGATAAAGTTGACTGGCCAAATTAGTAGCCACAAGTCCATACAGGAACAATTTGATGTATAGTTAGGATTTTATTAGCGCAAAGAGGGACTCTGCCCGAGGTCCGCATTGACACAGCCACGGGTTGGCATTGACATACAACAGCCCACAGGCCTATGTAACTTGCATTTTAAGACAATAATAACTTAAAGCCAATGCTGGAACATCACTGAAAGCTCTACTCGGTGTCCTGTCCTCTATTCAAAGTTAAAGACTAGTCCATATTGAACCGTTCATGCAAAATGATCTTTTACTTTGCATTTAAGAGACAACGCCTATCAAAAGCCAAATTAAGCGCAAATTAAGCGAATATTATCATGATTGCGGTTTTGTAACCAGAAAGCCATTAAGCTGCCACATTAGACTATTATAAATGCAACAGTGGGCAGACAATCTTAAAATGTAAATAGACCACCCTATGCTTGATTATTGAGAGGCTACACTGGGCAATTGAGCACATCCAGCTGGAGCACATGCAAGAAATCGTGTCAAATCATCCAAGGTTATAATGACGCTAAATTAAAAAGATAACATTGATGAGGCTCCTCTTTACTGTCGGAACCTGGCTGCAGGAGAGCTAACGCGCACCCTGCACTAGAGGCCTGTCAATAACATGAACGCAATATTCACAGACTGAAAATAACACTCCAGATGACATGCAGGTAAATTCAGCAGCATGTTACAGACAGAAATGATACAAATTTGACTTTTAATGGTATAATCGCAATAGCCTGCATTGCACACACCCCAACGGTTAATCCGTGTTTCCTTCTCCAAGAGCTGCGTTTCCAAGGTCATCAAAGCACAATAATCAGCTGCAAGTAGTGGCTCACCTCACCGGCCCTTTACCACAGACACTGCCAAAACGTGACCATTCATCGCCCCGATTGAGGCATCCGATACATTTCATGAAGCTGTGTTGCCTTGAAATGTCCCTTTAATCCATAGGCTATGTGTCCATCCACACAAACGACAAAACAGCATGCACACAAAGCTTCCACTCTGCCCAACGTGAAGTTTGAATTACCTTTATCGTTCACCTTGTGGGGACTCTGTAAATAAAGATATTTCTGTTTGCCTCGTCTGGGTTTAGATATGACAAACGAGCTACCCTTGTGCCGAGATAGTCAGCAGTTGCCTCAACAGCTGATTGACTGCGGCGCATGGATGATGCCGAGGAGGCTGTAGGGAGTTGTAGTTTCTCACTATTGCAGTGGCTAGTCAGCAAAGAGAGGATACCGGTATGTTCCTTCTGCGGTGGTAAAAAAAAAATTAAAAAGATCAGCTTCAAAGCTGACCTTTAGTTTACAAGATGGAGTTAAAGCAGCAATAACAAAAATAGTGATGACAGTCTAACAACTCTCTCTCTCTCTCTGTCTCTCAATTCAAAATTGAAAGAAAATTAGCTTTATTGGCATGAATGTATAACAACAATATTGCCAAAGTTACATATACATTACATAAGAACAATTAATTTCATTAAATAAGTAAATACAATAGTATTCTTTCTTTCTCTCATCATGTACGCATGCGCACACACGCACGCGCAGGGTTCATGTAAGTGAGAAACAAGTGAGGCTATAGGTATTAATTGCTTTCGTCAACTAAGCAGAAAAGCTTGATGTGATATGATAAAAAATAACTTTTATAATTAAGTGAAGACCAGAAGAGAAGGTGTGGAGCAAAAGCTACTTTCTCAAAAATGAATGTAGCCTAATGAAAACGTCTTACCGCTATTAGAAGTGTTCTGCAGCCATATGTGCATCTTCATGATAGGTCTATCTTCTAGACGCCGTGATCTCTCTTTGGCACATCTGTCGGGAACGGATTCAGAATATTAATTTGATATTTTTGGCCATAAGAGGGAGGAAAGCATTATTAAACTACATTTCCCATGACAGGGAATGGTCTCGTTCTCAGCGTCATCCTTGTTTTGATGATGCAACCACGCACAGCCGTGCTTATTTTGCGGTGCCTCACAGGCTTCCAGTCAATGGAGACAAGCGGCCACGCCAATGCGATAATACTAGTGACAAACGAGGCCGTAGCCGATGTCAAGTTAAATTTGAGTTGAAATAGTGCATCGCTCGTAGATGAACTGCCATGCCCGTGAAGGAATAGTTGTATGCTAAACAATTGGCCCTTTTTGCAGCTGACGCGCCGTAACAACACAAAGGCCTATGTAGCTAGTTAGCTAGCTAACAAGTAATTCAACGCCAGCTGCAGCAAATTAACAGGCCTACCATTTTAATTTTTTTTATCCGTAACTTAAGACAGTTAATCTGCTCTACCAACAAGACAGTATTTCAGTATTTATTTTTGCTTCTAATGGAGGAACAGAGTGCAGCGGCCATGCAGCAAAATTTGGACAGGTGAGTTCAAGTTTAAGGCTAACATGCTAATGGTAGCGACATAGCTTTACGTGAAATCACAACACTCGACAGATATGGGGAAGTTAACTTAGTTTTTTGTCTGTTTTAACACGTCGACTTTATACCGAGAAATGTATTTAAACTGTTTTGTGTACTATTAACGTTAGCTTGCTATGTTAATGTATTTCTGCAATGTTGAGACAGGATGTCCTCCACTACTAACTGAATATCAGACTAAGTTAACACAGCTGAGTGATCATAATACCTGCCTATCAACTCGAACACATGCACATTAGCGTTATATAGTTAATTTTTTTACCTTGTTACACGTAAACCAACCCAGAGACTTCGTGTCAACTGCCTCTTTTAACTCACCCAAACATTTGACCTGTAAACTACTGACCTTTATGACGAGAAGGGTATATCAGTAGCATTTCAAAAATTGTCACGTTCATAGTTAACAATCATTATAGCACTGAATGAGTAAACTGTCTATCTTCTATTACATAAGACACTGAAAACCATTCCCATGACAAGTTTGCTTTCATTCCCCTGAATATGTACTATTCAAGCACACACGTGTGCACACAATGACCACATTAAGTAATTCCCAAGTAACATGATATGTCTGACTTGTGTGCATGGAAAACGTTTGTCGCCACACAGATTTGAAAAATAGAGCTAAACATATTGCGCCTACACTGAGAACAAAGACAGAGTGGGGGGGTGCAGACATCTTCAGACAAAGCTTTGTCTTTAGGGGCAAAATCGGGGTTGGAAAGGTCAACACCATAAACCTGATTGAAAAATAACTATTTGTATTAAGTTGTACAAGCTAAAGCAAGAGTGTGCATGAGTAACAAATCAAAGCTGTCAATGGGGGGGGGGGATGTGTACTTACTGACCAACCCTGTTTGTGTGGTGAAATCTCTTCAATGAACAGGTTTAGCTTTGCGTCACCCAAACTGTCATAGCTGTCCAATGCATGCACACACAAGTAGGTGAATTCCAGTTGAAGCTGTAGGAGTGTTACAGTGGCAAGTTTTACCATTGACAAGAGTTCAAACATGCCGTTTGACATTGAAGCATCCGGCAACATAAGTTTTATTTTGCAGTGTGCGGCTCCCCAGGTTGAACCTTTTCATAGTCACATGGAGGGGAGATCATCGTGATGTGTGGAATTATTTTGAGCCATAAACGCATACAATCATACCCCTCAGTACACTTCATCAGGGTTGTCAAGGCACACAGTCAGCAACTCTGCGGGTCGCTTGGACCAGTATGAGGCTTTGACCCTTGCTCAAAGCTGTAGCTCGTCACTTTGGCGGTCACACAAAACATCCAAAATGAAATCCAGACACTGCAGCCTCAAATTTGTGTCTTAAAGGCTGATCCTTCTTTTTATTTGTGATGGCCAGCAGCTAACCCCTCTAGGCAGCACGTTAAATTCACATTCAGCATTCATGATCATTCTGTCTGTTTGGCTTCCTGGGTTGTGTTGGCTAAAGTGTCTGTTCCTGCTGTGAACCTTTCCAGTGTTTTTAGTTGGTGTTGCAGCTTTTTGTTCATGCTGCTCTACTGTCATGCATTCAGTGACTGTGTATTTTAAGACACCTAACCAATAAAATACTAAGTAAAAAGTATCTATCAAACCAACTATAATGTCTCTTGAAAATAATTTCAAAGTAGTACTGGAAGTAGTGAAGACAAAGGTTAGCTCACTATCTTATTTAACAGAGGGTAAAAGACTTCAGGTATCCTGGCCAAGACAGGCAGCAACACAAATAATATTTCAGACATAAGACAAACACAAAACAATTTAAAATGAGAACAAATTACAGAATTATAAAATCTTAAAACCTCTATAGCCATCCAATTAATTTAGAATCAATTTAAATGCGTCCAATGAGACCAGCTCCCAAAGACGCAGCTTATTGAACTTTATTCCATTTTATTTACATCCGTGATCTTTTGAGGTGGCAGTAGCTCAGTCCATAAGGACTTTGCTGGAAACTGGAGGGTTGCCGGTTCAAGTCCAGCTCGTCCAATAGATGTGGAGTGGTAGCTGGAGAGGTGCTAGTTCACCTCCTGGGGACTGCCGAAGGTGGCCTTGAGCAAGCCCCTGAACCCCCAACCGAATAATGTATAGTATCTACCAAAACCAGTAGAAAGGGGTTATTATCCGAACAACTTGCAGAATCGACCAGTAATTTTTCAGATATGAGTATCACTCAGCCAACACTAGAACAGACATACTGACAGACGTGCTGCCATCTTGGATGTGGACAAGAAAAAGTACATATGTTATATCAATTAATATATCAATGTCGCACTCATCAGCTAGATATGTCTAGTGCATTCTTTGTGTTCAACTTATACCAACAGATGTCTGTCTGTTGTTGTGGCTAAAGGTAGCGTGGCTTGATATGCAGTTTTGAAGACTTTGTCCTGTAGCTTTAATTCATCTGAATAGGTATTCAGTTTCATGTGATGGTGAAACTGGATAAAATTATATGGTAGCTCAGATGTTGCCAGCCCTTTCCTGACATAGCCCCACCCACATGTAGAGAGGGCAAAACTCACGTTTCATTTGCAGAAATAGTGTACCCATTTAAAGACTGTATAAAATTATACAGGCCTCAAATCATCATAGCATCTTGGTAAAAAGTGGGAAGTTAAATTAATGAAGTGTCGCAGCTAATTTAGAGAGCAGTTAAAATTTTGTGATATTTTAGGGTTAGTCTTCTGACAGCAGGAGGAAAAACAAGCAAATACGCTTTGTGTGACCTATGTTGAAACACAAAATAAGCTGTGAGAGGTAGGTGGGAACAGAAAGTTCTTAAGTGCTGAAGATCACTGGCCATGTTTGTGAAAACATAGTATGAGATGGGAATGGCTTGGTTTTGTAAAATTCAGTCTGCGATCAAATGTAAACACACTGAAATTCACTGGAACCTGTTGTCAGTTTAAGTTAAGGATGATTTTATCTTTGTGGGCAAAGACTAGACAAGTACATTAATTGTTTGTTTTCAGCTCTGAAAGGTTTCAGTAATTGAACAGGGCTTTTCAGTTAAGACAATCTCGAAAACACAAAATGCTGGTTTCGATTTGTTCAGTTAATTAAAATACCCCAAGATTTATATTGTTCAAAACTACACATCTCTTCTGATTTAACCAAATTTCAGGGATTTATGTGGCTCAAAATGAGGCAGAGGTGGTCCCATCGTGATCATTTACACAGTTATCACATTATAGAATATATTATAAAAAAAATGGTGCCCTGTTCAACATTAAATCAAATACAACATAAAAGCAAATGTAACATCAGCTATTTTCATCTATAGTTTACATGGGTCCCCTTGCATTGTAGTTGATGTGATATTTGTTCTTGCTGAAGCATGTCACATTGACATGGTTAAGCTCGGTTTTAGACATCTTCAAATACTGGTATGCTGAATATATTTACACAAATGTGGATTGCCAACCGTTTTGAAGCATTTAAAATGAATTTGTAAAATTTAAGTAATCCGCTCTCACTTTTATAAGACAGCCTATAATTTATTCATTTTATTTTACTTTCTAATTGGATACATGTGTTGTAAGATGTAGGTATTGTAATTAGCTGGGGGGTCGTGGGGGCGTCAGAAGAACTTCATTGAACTGATCTGAACCACAAATCAAGAAATAAAACTAATGTAAAGTTGCAGATCGACATTTACAGATTTTTTTTATTTATTTATTTTTCCTAGCTAGCTTTCTAAAAACTGAAGTTGGATTAAACCTCCTGGTTAGCCACCCCGCTGTAAATAAACGCACTCTGTATTTGCTTTACAGGATGGCATTTAGTCACATGTAGAGGCTTATAGAGCAGCGTTCACTAAAGACCACCATTTGTAGTTGCACTTTTAAATGCCTGCTGGTGATATGAAACTATTTAAGAAGAACAGCGATAAGCAATTTTGTGTTAGTGATGATTTTTGCTGTCACCTTTTGGCAGACATTTGCCAGTGGAAAAGATGTCATGCCCCTGCGCTGCTGTCCAGCCAATCGGACGGCTCTTTTACTTCCTCTGAATTGTGAAAAAAGTCAAACAAGCATTGGTATGTCAATACATTGGAATTGCAAGCTTTCGCTTTTAGTAAACCTCAAGGGGTTGTAAGGCTGAATCAGGCAATAAAACTGAATTGAGTAGGTTACCCATGAAGTACAGTTGCAAAACAAGATAAATCTGCTAGATCAAACTTAATATTAGAGTAACCCCAGGATTGGAGTAGGTGTTTTTTATATGAATTAAGTTTATGTTGTCTGTGTAATGAGTACATTTTCCTTATTAAAAAATGAATTGTCATTGTAGAAAGGGCAAGTCATGATATGCAAAGTGTTCATCTTGACTTCTCTTCAAAATTGTGTGGCTGGGGCATTGAAGCCCTATGATGAATTCAATAAAATTATTGGTTGAACTGGCAGGTTATGCTTATTAAGTTGAGTGCCTTGACTTGTCAATCTAACAAAATTGAAGCGCAAACTTGGACTTGGCCACACATGCACTGCATATTAAGATGGATGTGATAAGACCTAAGTGTCTTCCACCAAAATGGGCAGAGAGTCTTGTTTTTAACATGGCCTAGCATCTCAAAGATTTTCCATAACTGACCAGGCAAGATGTCACCTTTATTCTTGATGTAATGATAAAACAAGGGTTCATGGATATGCTCTCATTCACTTTCTGTAAAGTCAGACAAAGCCATGCTTGCTGCTCTCCAAGCGAAATCAGGCGACAGTTTTCCAGAGTTTTCCATCTTCTGTGTGAGCGGCGGCGAGCAGATGCTACATTAGGTCCAAGCACATTAGTGGGTTGTTTCCCTCAAAATAGTCACTGGCATTTAATAGCTTGTGCAGTGTGTTTCTAAAAGGCATTTGACGCAGCACTTTGTCAATATTGAACTTTGGACTTTGAAACCATTTCCCAAGCACATGGTAAAGTAGCAGGGGGAAAGGAC